TATCGTCTTGAATTCTCTCCGTGGAATCACAGGTCACCTCTCTATTATGTACTCTAATGCTCTGTTTCCTGGTATTTTACAACCAAACAAGGGAGTCACGGTGGCTAAGTGGGTAAGACGCTGGCTGGCTGGGTTACAATCCAAAAGCAACTCTCAGCCCTACGAATTAGTCAATTTAATACTAAGCTGTGCCCGAATTTCTGTGTATAAACGGAGAATGAAATCCCTTGACAATACTACTACTATAGAAATTGATGTTGTAAATTTTTTTAAAAATGTATTAAAGAGCTCCTTTAATAATGTAAGAGAGTACTGTAAGAAAAAATAATATTAATTTTATTAAAAAGTTTATTTCGCCGTCATTATTTATTTCTTATGAAAGTAATGGATCTATATCTATCGATATATAATTATTATTTTAAATATTGAAACTAACTTTTAAACTCGAAATGGTTTCGCACTTTCGCCAAGTTTCGAGATTGAAAGCTATAGATAAATGAAGCCCACTGTGCTTATATTGTAAATATATTTATGTTGTTAATGGTACTATATACTTTTTATATATTTTAAATGTGTGTGTCTGGAGTGTGATTGTTAGCGTGCATCTGTATATTTAATATACTTGAATGAGTGAATGTTTTTTAACATGTAATCGGATGTACTGTATATTTATGCTGTATTAGTACCTGAATAAAATTTTCTCAAGAAAAAAAAAGACGCTGGCTGGCTAGTCTTGGCGTCGGGTGTTCGATCCCTTCATTGACCGAGAAAGTTTTCCGGCGTGGTTTCTCTTTGTCAGTGATGCAGGACGGAGGGGACGAAAAAACGTGTATACATTGGCATGCACACTGAAAAAACACTTGTGTTGGATCTCAACACAAGTACTTGTGTTAAAACTAATCTACACAAGTTATGTGTTGTTTTGCATTGCATTAACACAAACTTGTGTCGATTTATAAAATCTTGTGTGTTTTTTCATATCATTAACACAAGTAATGTGTACCTTCCACGATTTGTTTTCTTTTTAAGAAAAAAACTCCATACAAAGTCTGAATTCGGGAGTCGTCAAGTTTTAAGAAAAGTAATAAAGGGCTTAATTCACATCTCGAAAATCACATACTGTTCTTCACTGGAAGGGAGTGAGTACCAATTAATCAGACAATTGCCAGACAGACTTGAATGTTAATTGGTGTTAAGTTGTCTGTATAGTTAAAATGTCTGTCTTTTTTTATTGACCCAATAAACTGATAGACCAAATGAATATATAGTGTACATGTGATTTTCAGCACCCTGGTGTTTTCGAAAATTGATTCAATGTGCAATGAACAAAAAAAATGAGTAAAACTCTTAATAATGTAATTGGTTGATGTAATCGAAATTGGACAGTATTGGTTAACTGAAAAGTAACCAATCAAATTTAATTGATCATCCACGTGTATCTCATAATCGACTTATTGATATAATGGTTCTCCAAGTTATCTATACTTTTTGTCTGCGATATCACTTCGGTGGAAGCGGACGTAAAATACAACTAACTAAGAAGAAGTATCTATACTTTAGTCATTGCGACAAATTCTTTCTTTGATATTATATCAGCGACATTCAGTTAGATGTAGTGACGTTAACATCAACAGAGTGCTTTAGCCGTGATATTTTTTAAAAAAAAATTATAATGGTCACATAGAATACCAGACCGCAGGTTTGTAAATTTTTACAAAAAATAAAACCGTGTATTTAATTTAGCATGTATATATTGCTTCTATGTATATAATAATTCGTTTCGTTTAAAACAGTCAGATTTAGAACCACTGCCACTGACTGCACCGGAATTCTATTTATATAATGGCGCCACAAAGAATTTTTTTTTGATGTGTTCTAAAAGTGTTCCGCTAATTCAGCAATCTAATGATTCTGTCTTAATTTTTCTGAAATCGTGCTTAATTATTATTAGCTAATCGGCGCTACACCGTTGTTCAAATACTTATAATTGCAAGAAACCCCCGACTAGGACCAGCAGGTAAGAATCTGTCTTGATTTTATAGTAATGCCCGGTTGCAATTATTGGCCGCCATCTTTGATTTTTATAGACGTTCGGGCCAAAAAAAAGGAGAAATGTATATCCAGACATGGACTATAGCTAGATACTAACTTTTGTGTTAGTTGTTTATTTGAAATGTAATCTTAATATTTCTGTAAAAGAAAAAAACAACAACAAACAAATCAGCCTTTTTTTTATATCAATGTCATCAATGTGTAGGCCTAATAATTAGACTTTCAATGATTCAGAAGTTTCTCTACAGTTTCGTTATTTTTTTTCCAGTCATTGATGTTAGCATGTACTACACAAAGAAAAACAGGTAACAGAATTTCATTTCCTTTTAATATATTTTTTAAATAATGGCCAATAATTGTTATTGTATGTAACAGGAAAAGTATTTATCTCTGTAGAGAGGGGGCGAGTAAATGGGGTTTAAAATTCACTAAATTCACTTGACACAAACTATGCCATTCATTTCCTTGTATTAAATTGGTCGAATCAAGTAGGCCCATGCTTTATGTCCTAGAATCAAGTAGGACGGGTTTTTTTCTTCCGTTTCCGCCCTTTTCCTGAACACTGTCTCATTCTATTGCCATCTGTGTATGTTGTGTTATATTAGTTCTGCATAAACCTAGAGTTGTTGTTAGTGTTTGTCGGATAGATCCTTTATACTTACTGGCGCTAGGTAATTTTGAGGCTAATATTGTTCAATTTTATTTGAATGATTTGCTTGCGCGTACCGTAGGAGTGTATTAGAAACAGTGTTCGCGCAGGTTCGAGAACGGCTGAAGAACATGAAAACACTTTCATGAGTCTCGAACATGAGAGAACGGTATCCATGGTAACAAGATGAATTAAATTTATACAATCTGTTACGATAACTTGTTTAGTATTGACTTCGCTATTAAGCATACTTATGATAAATTATGACTCCGTTTTACTCCTTTTCAATTCTTTGGATGACGATTACATCACCTTTTGATACGCCCACATGGAAATGTGGTCGCATATTGTCATCGCCCTCGTCCGTAGGTTTGTCCGTCGTCTACAGACCTGATTATTTTGAAATTGATATGTTGTTTATTTTAATGAGATGAATCCTATTTAATTTCAATAATTTCCGTTAGTTTCTTCTGGAGTTATGGCCCTTGTTTCACTTTGTGAAATTCATTTGCATCTTTTAAATTAGTAAAACGAAGACGTCTATTAAATTTCTGCGATTTCCGTGAATTATGTCTAGAGTTGTGGCCCTTGTTTCAAATTTCAACAATTAAGGCCCTTCTTTCAGTTTGTAGAACCTTTGTAAACCCACAGACGACAAAAATTATAATCTTTTCTTGTAAATGCCCACATTACCTACCAAAGAATGAATATGCGACAATCCCTGTTGACTGAGCAAACGATTAAACTGCTGTGGGCATATGTTTCGTTGCCTGGCAACCTAACTTATTTGATGTTATACTGGCCACATACTACATCCAATTTTCGAACGGTATTAAACTTTTAAATTAATAAATGCACCCATGATGCTGTTTTCTCAGCAGTTATCGATGCGTCGACCATGTTTGTTCTCCCTCACACCAGCTATGAGGTAGTGTGGGATTTGAGAACGGGAACGTGTTCGTGAACGCATTCCAGACTGCTCAAGTCCGACAAGAACCCATTCTCCGTCCGTTCTCTGCACCGGAACACTGTTTCGAATACACCCTAGGGGTATTTAGCAAAGGGAGGAAACCGGAGGACCCGGAGAAAACCCACAAGGCTGGACAGGCGACCTTATTCCTAGTCACATTCAAGTGGGGAATCACATAATAATTGCCTATTTCAAATAAGATATTTGCATATAAAGAAAGTAGGCCTACAGCCTCTTTCAAATGTGATATTTGCATATAAAGAAAGTACAAACTTAAATCGTCAGTGCTGGATAAACTAGCCAAAGGATTCGGCTGAATCAATTGGCGCTAAACTTCACCTAGTTTATCCACTGACATACGCCCGAATCAAACATGTTTAATATATTTGGTCGAATTGTATTTGAGTGGTGTGTCCGGCTGTCCGCTTCGCCGAAGCATTCGTCTGATTTTAGAATTCATTAGCCAATCACCACTCATTTATATCGAGTGGGTATCACAAACTAGCAGTCGAACTGTGACACGGGTGCTACAGCCAACAAATTCCAACTACCATACTATCGGCTTATATGCACGCCAATTGGACCTCAGGTTTTGTGTTCCATTGAAACGACTAGAAATGAAATGGGGGTTTAACGTCCTACTATTTTGCTCCGAACTGGGCTAATGAAGACAGGCATACACCACACAGTGTGCTATGAGGGAAATTTTGCCCGGACAGCGGCACTGCGGTGTATCGAATTCCAACTGTCAAGGGATCTTTTACGTGGACGCCAACGTGTACACGGGACCTCGTTTTTTCGTATCATCCGAATGACTAGACAACTGTCCTTGTCAGGCCCTCCATCCTGCATCACTGACAAGGGGGAACCACGCCGGAAAATCTGGGTGAACTTTCTCGGCCAATGCAGGGATCGAACACCCGACCTCCAGGCTAGCGAGCCAACGTCTTACCCACTTAGCCACCATGACGACTAGACAGGGAATCCATGCTGAAAAATCCAAATGAGCTTTCTCGGTCAACACTGGGAGCAAACCCGCAACCTCCCGGGTAGCAAGCCAGTGCCTTACACACTAAGCCACATGGCTCTCTTCTAATTACTGTGACAGTCCAGTCACATGACAAACAAGGGTTATTAAAACAGATTTTCATGGCTTCGGTAAGATCTTCGGGATTCAAATGGTTTTAGATATCACACAGTTTGTATATGGTAAGGTATCTTAAACAGTTAATTACATGTCACATATTTATATTTTTCAGTTTCCATATTAGATGCCATAGCAAATCAAAGATCATATAATAAAATAAGTCACAAAAACCCAAATATGGGAAAAAAAGAGCTGAAGAAATGGTGATTTGAGCACCTATGATTTCTCATAGTTGTTTTTTGAGGGTGAGTGTTCAATTCTAATAGAAAAGATTGTTGTTGTGGTATTTTAGAATCTCACCATAATGTGTTTGGCACAATATAGCCCGGTTGGAGCTGATGTGACATAAACCTTAATTTCATTTTAATATTTTGAAATTTAAAATTCAGTTTAGTATAGTAAAACTGTGAAGTACATGTATGTGCACAGACAGAATCTTACTTATGTCCAGATACATGTAGATATGACTATCTCATCTGTGTGGACCTACGGTGACCAAGTGGGTTAGACACTGGTTCGCATATTTTAAGGTCGCGGGTTTGCAGTAAGACAATGCAGAACGGAGGGCCTTACAAGGACAGCTGTCTAGTCGTTCAGATTGAACAAAAAAACGTGGTCCCGTGTACACATTGGCGTGCATGTAAAATAGCCCCTGGCAGTTAGAATTTGATACAAGAGTAGGCCTTAGGGTCACGGTACCCGGCAAAATTTCTCTCATAGCACACTGTATGGCATATGCCCAACCTCATTAGCCCAGTCGGAGCTGAACAGTAGGACGCCGAACCCCATTCCATTTCATTTTTTTCATTTTGTCTCATCTGTGACAAAGCAAACCAACACATTACAATGCAATGTAATTAAATTACAACTTTCATCTTTTAACTGTCGAGTCGATTTAAGTCAACTAATACATAGTATGTTTTTTTCTCCGTTAACTACATCAGAAAGATCAAGACAGTTGAAAATGGCTATTCATATTATGGAAACTTTTTCTCACAGAGCTTGATAATCAGGTAAAATGTAAGTAACATACATATTTGTATTTTTAATCATCAACTAGTTCTATACACTTGATTGGTAATCTAGTTATTCTTCTTGGGGAAATACCTAGGACTCTCCTATTCAAGTCTTGGCATTCTTGATTTTTGACAATCACATCCATTGATTTTCGTCAAGTTGTGATAGACCCTATGTGTATTTTTACAGTAAATAGCAGTATAAAATTGATGGACAATATTTTACTTTTCAAATAGATTTTAATAGGTAATATCCAATTTGTTGTCGATGGAAATAAAATATAATAATCTGCCTGGGTCTGTTACTGGACAAGACACAATAAGTGTTACCCAAAGATGAAACAAAATAGAGACTCAGTCTCGATGTGGCAAAATAAATTGTTTATTTAAACATTGTGAACCATAAATAGTAAGAAAGTATTCTTATTGCCTACTTTTTATTTTTTAGGCTGGAAGATTATTTGATGTATGATAACAACAAGAGATCCCAAGCATCAATTTATTTTAAAATTCTGGAAAAGAATGCATTTGACCCAATTTTTGAATATTTATTTTTTGTTTTTACTGTTAAATATTCTTCCCAAACACAATTAGATTTTAATTCTCTACAGAAATTTATGTATAATATAGAATGTAAAGTGACATATTAATCACTTAGAATTTGGTCGGAAATCATAAAGTATTTAATAGGCATAATCTAGAAACCAAATGTAGATCAAATATACCCAGAATTACAAAAAACCTTGACCTACATTAAGGTGACTTTCCCTTGCTTATGAAATGAAATAGGGTTTAAGATCCTACTTTTCTGTGTTAATATGGTGATTCTGCCCTACAACCTACTCTTATATCAAATATTTCAACTGTCAAGGGTTGTTTAAAGGGAACCCAGGAGGGCCGAATGGTTAACACACGCACATTGGATCAGAAGGTCTGTCATTGAGTCAGATAATTCAATTGTCAAGGGTTCTTTAAAGTAAACGCAGTGGGGGTAGTTTCAATTCCGGGCTTATACCCAATTATCCCTTGCCATGTCCTACACTACTGACGTGTGGGAACTATGTCGGAAAATCCAATTGAAATTTCTCGGCCAATGCCTTATACTCACTGAACCACAGTGACTCCTCCTTGCTTTTGACTTGTGATTATTTATATATATTTTGTACATATTATTTAATGTTTGCGATTTTCTCTGATATTTTTTTATTTTTCAATCCTGTAATCTTGATGCTTTGCTCCTTTTATGTACAAAATATTCATTTTGTTTGTTGTTTTTTTTAATGAGGAAAAGGTTCTACATCATTTTATTACTCCTGCAAAATAGTGCATTTTTCTTTTGTTAGTTTTCTGTGTATGCTAGTTATTTCTAGATGCCTCACAAATCACTTGTAATATGACTTTGTAGCACTTTTCAGTTTCTGAAAGTATTTCAATTTAGTGCATAATTAATCTAATTAGGGCTTGGTTTGGATGTTATTAAATTTAGATATATTTGAATTATATATTTTTATATTTTTGGGGTATGGGGTAGGGATCTTTCTTTTCTCAGTTCTTGTTTTCGGGTAAAGAAAAAATTAAATAGCTACTTTGTATTTTGTGATGTGGGGGGGGGGGGGAGCAAAGTATAACAAAATTTTTATTAGTATTAGAATTATATCTCTGTTTTTCTGTTAACATTTCAAATGATGTCTATTTAGTTTTGATTTGGTGGTGTTAATTTACTTTTTCCTATCATTTTATGAATAAATGATAATTTAACAAATAAAATTATTGTTACCTCATTTATCAAACTTTACAGGTTAAACAGAGCAAAAGGGGTGGGGGCTGCATGGGAAAGATTGCTAAATTAAGGGAAAATAAAACACAAGTTTTGGTGGTGGTTATACACAAGTTTTTATGAAACCACACAAGTTTCAGAAATTTCAACACAAGTTTCAGAAATTTCAACACAAGTTTCAGAAATTTCAACACAAGTTTCAACACAAGTATTGTGTAGATTTTCACACAAGTTTCAACACAAGTTTGTGTTGTTTGGTAAATTTTAACACAAGTCTTGTGTTGTTTCAACATTTAACACAAGTTTGTGTTGTTTCAACACAAGTTTGTGTTGTTAGATAGAGACACACAAGTTTGTGTTGATTCAACACAAGTTTTTTTTCAGTGCACGTAAAAGATCCCTTGGCAGTCGGAAATAGATATAAGTGTAGGCCATAGTGCCGCTCCCCGGGCAAAATAATGTCTAAAATAATCTGTGTTTAGATCTAATCAGTAACTAGCTAAGTATTGATTCTCAAAAGCCAGATTAGCTAATCTTAGACTAGAATTTCTCTTCGTCAACGATTAAAATTAAGTTTTAAAATTTGATTGTAAATCAAACATTAAAATCACTGATTCATCTATGGCAAGCTTTGGGGGCATTTGTTTGGAAATTTTCAACACAAGAGTACCACAAGATATTGGGTTTCTGAAAATAAATAAATTCCAAAACATTTTCGACTTAAAATAATATTCATGGAGTGTTTTGGGTCTTTGGTGTTTTTCACCACAAGCGTTCCACAAGGAACTGGACATAGAAAAGATATCAATTTTTTCAAAAAATTCTTCTCAGACCTCCCTATATGTTGTACCACATTCCACAAGATTTTCGACTTAGAATAATTTTGATACAATTTCATAAAATTTCATGAGATATATTAAATATAATATCGTTTATTATATAAAAACATGAACAGTATATTTGTAATTATAAAGCTTCAAAGGCCTAAAATACAATCATTGAGTTAGCTCCGCTTTGAACTTGAGAGAGAGAGAGAAATGGGGTTTAACGTCCACTCAACACAAACTAGGTCATTTTGGGACTAACATATGGTTTAATTTTATTTCAATAATTCGCTTGCGCGTAGGGGTCTTTAGCAGTGGGAGGAAACCGGAGGACCCAGAGAAAACCCACGAGGTTGGACAGGCGACCCTACTCCTTGCCACGCACAGCCGGGGATTAGAAACCACGCCAGTTGACTCAATGACAGACTTTATGGTACAGCGCGCACGTGCTAACCATTCAGCCCCCCCCCCCTTTGAACTTGATTGTTTTTAATTTCTTACATCTCTTTGTTTGAAATATTGTGTGAAAATTGATACATCATGGCAGATGTTATCGTGTCATCGTGACACATGGAAGCAGAATTGATTAAAATATCTTTATGTAGGCTATTGCCATCCATGGTTGTCCATATTGCACTCATTAGTCATTACGATAATATAAACTTATAGCTGGCCCTATTATGTAATGTCCTTTGTCTTGTAAAGCAATCTGTACTGAACGTGAAATTAATGGTGGTATGTTCACACATTCAGAAAATTTCCAAGATGGCCGCCGTTTGTGGTAGGACGTTTTCCAAACACATTATTGAATTGGTTTCTGAATCCAATTCTGCTATGTATAATCTTGTACCATGTTCCTGCAAGCCAGTGTTGTGTTTTACCCATTAGATATATTAACTAACAATGAAATATCCTCACCCGAGTTGACCACTGAGCTAATATCTATTTTCCAGGAAAATAGCATATTTTACTTGGTCAATCGCGTTGTAGTAGTTTGACTCCAGTCTGATTTTAAGACTTGGTGGCGCCATCGAGACTTTCGGTTTATGTTGTCTGTCAGTTATAGATGCAAAATTAACGATGGTTAAAAATGTGAGACTTACAACTTTTGAAAAGGTAATAAATAATCAAAAAATAGAACAGAAATGTATGATTTAAAATATATAGCGGTATACAAAGACAGAAAAACAAGGACTGCAAATGAGTTAATATTACTTGCTATAAAAAACCTACGTGGCATAAATTATATTATCAACTGACCCCAAGCTGCGTGTGGAAGGAGTCGTTCAGAGAATGTTGTTGAGTTGGAAAGACAAACTATATCGCCACTTAAACGACGATGCGACTCGTCATTTATGACATCTCTGCCAACACCATTGAAAGAACTGGTGGCGGGTGATGTCAAAGTAGCCGGTCACGTTGTTGTGTAAGTGGTAACATACTTTATGCTTCAAACGCAACAGCATTTCACATATTCGTTCCACATTCAGCTTGGAAGTCAGTTGATAACATACTCTATGCCACGAAGGCTTCTTAGCACGTACATGTATTTCATTTACAACCACGTCTCCACCCAACCACGTTGCCGCCAGGCTGAAACGAAGCTCGTAGCCAGAGCTTGGCCATGATTGCCATAATGGTCGTAGTAAGCGCTTGGTGTGATTGTGGCAAGAGCATGATGGGCGCGTGTAAATTTCTTGTCACACTTATTAGCGCAAGCTTCTTAGCCCTTATGCCAGGAGACAGAGTGGATAGGCTTTTCAGTCCCGGGAAAATCAGTATCAGCTCAGTGATCAACTCGGATGAGGAATTTTCATCATTGGATAATATAACAAAAGGGTACGACGCGGTACCGGTGTGACAGTTTGAATTGACTCCCGGTGTATGTTTGCTCCTGAGCACTTGCGCATGTCCGAAACTGTTGTTGGCGTTAACAACGAAACTAGATCTACTTCCGGTGTTGTGAGATGGTTCCTGATCACTGATCAGTTCAGAAAAAAAGTATTACGTACTTGGTTAGAGTTTTGTCACGAATAAAAGTGCTTGTTATCGTGATTAGCTGTTGTTTTAGTGATTAGTAGTTACACGATCAACGGATCTAAGTTGATTGGCTTGAAACTAATACTTCTGTCTTTCGTGATTTGTTGCCGTTGTGTTTTTTTCTTTTAGTGATTACGTTACACTTTTTGAGGTTTTAACTATGTTTTAATAATTAACTATTTTGCAGATTAGCCTTTATATGATTGGGATTTCTCTGTATCATTGTTATTTTAATTTTGTACTTCTTATTAAATTTTTTACAACCAAACAATGTAGCCTATCTGTTTTATTACTCATATTAGGGGTTTCAGGTCACTTGACTTTAGCGTGAAATCTGACAGTCAGCGGCTGAAATATATTCCACTTCAAAATACGATTCTGAATTACTATTTTATTTAAATGTATTACTCGCAATTGTATTGTAATAGTTTAATATCAATCTCAATATCTGCAATGATTCAGGCTCAAAAATTATCGAAATATAAGCGAAATTACAGTTTTTGTACGGGAGACGCTTGCGGGAAAATATCGTTCTGACGTCACTCTCTGACGGATTTTCATTCAACACGAATTGAATAAGATAAGATAACAGTAAAGACACAAGCTTTTAGACCGACATAAATATGTCAATTGAAATATAAATTCTAAATTTACATTTAAATATATTACAGTTACCAGTCCTTAGTCAATTTATTGTATTTCTACTTTTTATCGAAATAAACAAACAATAGAAACTCGAAACCCTCTCCTATAGTAATACTGTAAATATTGGTAGATTATGGTGTAGAAACCGGTTTGACCGTAAGAAAACCTTAGGGGAAATCCTTTCACGGGAAGTCAATGCACACCGTGTCCATAACGATGTGAGTTGACTCCTACAACTGCGCATGCGCTAAACGGTTATCGCATACCAGGAACCGTCTCACACCGGCTTTCAGGAATGCGCTACAAACTAATAGCCTATGTAGCAGAAATGGAAATAAAATTGAAATAGAGTCAAGACCCCTGCCAGTATTAATACATTGCCAAATCACAGTTAAAATGGGGATAACAATATAAATAAGGTGAAAATGAAAAAATAAGTTGCAATATTATCACAAAATCGCTACCCTCAAGCAACGGCCTCCCATACTATAAAGACAATCTCAGAAACAATAAATAAAGCTTATTCCACGATTTCTACCCGCAAATTAGACGGCTGGGAATTATGTACAGACCGAATCGTACTATTTCACTTTGTAATGGTAGGCCCTACAGTCGAGTTTTACTAATCAAACCAAACAACATGTAATCAAATAACGCCTTTATCCGTCATATGTAATATTGTCACGTGACATTGTTATGTTTTGTTTCGCTTAGAGAGAGAGAGAGAGAGAGTGAGGGGGGGGGGGGGGGGGGTAACGTCAACACGAGACAAACTAGGTCATTTCGGGACTAACATATGGTTCAATTTTATTTCAATAATTTGCTAGCGCGTAGAGGTTTTTAGCAGTGAGAGGAAACCGGAGGACCAGGAGAAAACCCACGTATACACGATAGAACTCCAATATAGTAAAACATAATAATGAACCATATCATGTCCCAATAATAATCTAATTTGTAGATCTGCAATTTGGGGGGTTGGATGGCTGAATGGTTAGCGTGCGCGCGCTGTATCATAAAGTCTGTCATTGAGTCGACTGGCTTGGTTTCGAATCCCCGGTTGTACGTGACAAGAAGTAGGGTCGCCTGTCCAACCTCGTGGGTTTTCTCCGGGTCCTCCGGTTTCCTCCCACTGCTAAAGACCCCTACGCGCAAGCGAATTATTGAAATAAAATTAAAACCATATGTTAGTCCCGAAATGACCTAGTTTGTGTCGAGTGGACGTTAAACCCCATCTCTCTCTCTCTCTCTCTCTCTCAGATCTGCAATTTGTAACGTGATGGTCTGAACATTATTTGTGTGGCTCTATTTGTTGATAGCAAATACCGCTAATAATTATCTTGGAAAAAAAAACTACCTCTATTAAACGAGGCATTTTACCCAGCCTCATTCTGGACAAATTACCTCGTTCAAAGAACATATATAAGGCAATTTTAAAAAAAACTACTTTTAGTTTTGGAACGCCAGACAAACGTGGCATTTTTTTTTACCACGTTACAACGTGGCAAAATTGTACCAAAATTTTAACACGTCTTTGCCACGTTTGAACAAAAATGCTGATCGAAGCATAGTGTGGCGGGGTTCTCCCTTGTCAGATGTGCAGTTGTTTGGATGAGACACAAAAAAAAAACAATTTCCTGTGTACACATTGGCGTGTAAAATTTCCCTCGTAGCACACTGTATGGCGTAGGGATTTAACATCCACTTGACACACAATTAAAATTGTATTTCAATAATTTGCTGGCGCGTAAGAGTCTTTAGCAGTGGGCGGAAACAGGATTTAAAGGAAACATCCCGGGGTCTCAGAAACAAAAGTGTACGTATGAAATTTAAGCGTCAAAATATAGACGAATGGTATATTTACCTTGTCTCAAAATTTTAAGTGGTAGATTCAATTTTTTTTTCGTTGGGTGACCCGATGATCTATTGTCTGGAGATTTATACAGTGCATGACCCCCATTCTGTACTTGATAACGTAAGGTAAATTTCACCTACATGTTATTCTTATAAAATAAGTCTGGATACAAATCTGAATAAAAATATTCCTTATAAAAAAAGACACCGTATAATACTGCTTGGGACTCCGGTCTCCGTTTCCTGATGAAGACTGACGGGTTTAAGTTGTTTGAAAACGTATCACGTATGTTGAGTTAGTTGCTCGGCCCAAAGGTAGAGGATTTTAATGGCCTTTAACACAAAATAAGCAGTTTTATTCTCCAAAATATAGTCGAGATTGGCGCTTTAAGACTCTAGACGTAGGCCGGTCATCTGGGAGATGAAATGTAATTATCATTTTTAATAAAGTTGTTCGCATCGCCCCACTTGGCATATCATTATATAAACATAAATTGTCTCCATTTCATGTTTTGATAGAATTTTATTGGCCGTTTAGATACTGTTTTTGCAATTTTTATACATACAACTGAGTGCCAATTACATAAAATTTCATGAGATATATTAAATATAATATTGTTTATTATGTAAAAACATGAACAGTATATGTGTAATTACAAAGCTTCAAAGACCTAATATACTATTATTTAGTTCGCTCCGCTTTGAACTTGGCTGTTTTTCATTTCTTACATCTCTTTGTTGGAAATATTGTGTGAACATATGAAACTGCAACAAAGAATGTTATAAACTCTTTTAATGCAACGAATTGCATGTCTAATCGACTTTGCCATGTGTTTTTTTTCTACATAATCGCTTGAAAGTGTCACCTGAATATGCTGCCCTTGATACGCTCGACAAGACTTTGGTTTGGCTGAACCCCACCTCTTTTGAAAAATCATGTATCCACCCTTGTGAACAGGTCCGTACCCAGCGTTGGTGGGGTGGGGTGGCGTCGGTCACAAACAAGGTAGGCCACGGACGTTTTTCCGTACATCATATTAAAGTTGTAAACTCTCGGTTGTTGCTTCAGGAACATGCATCCTTTACGACTAGAAATTTTCTTGCACTTTGTTTTGCGATGGGGGCTAAATCTAAAATATATAATATATATGATTATAGGCAGACAGCGTAAGTTGAGTATGGGAAGAGTGCGTGTGAATTATGGAAAAAGGGGAATATATGGTGTTAAAAATAAATAGTGGGAGCTTAGTGGGTAAGATGCTTCCTCTCTAACCAGTAGGAGAGAGATGGGATTAACATCCACTCGACACAAGCTAGGTTATTTCGGCACTAACATATGGTTTAATTTTATTCAATAATTCGCTTGCACATTGGGGTCTTTAGCAGTGGGATGAATCCAAAGGACCTGGAGAAATCCCAATGGGTTGGACAGGGGATCCTACTCCTTGTCACGTACAAGCAGGGACTAACACGTGGTTCAATTTTATTTCAATAATTTTCTTGCCCATAGGGGTCTTTAGCAGTGAGAGGAAACTGGAGGACCCCGAGAAAACCCACAGGGTTGGACAGGGAATCAAAACCACGCAAGTTGACTCAATGACAGACCTTATGATTCAGCACGCAGACGCCATACAAAACTTACTGATGACCACCCCGCTGGGAAGCGTTTGTTATACACTATAGAGAGAGAAATGGGGTTTAACGTCAACTCGACACAGACTAGGTCATTTCAGGACTAACATATGGTTCAATTTTATTTCAATAATTCGCTTGCGCGTAGGGGTCTTTAGCAGTGAGAGGAAACCGGAGGACCCAGAGAAAACACATGGGATTGAACAGGGAATCGAAACCCTGCCAGTTTACTCAATGACAGACCTTATGATACAGCATGCCACCCAACTCAGTGTTGACCTTACCCAACTGGGTAGCGTTTGTTATACAAAATAGAACTCCAGTAGGCTATAGTAATCCATAATAAGGAACCATATAAGGTCCCAATAAATAATCTAATTTGTAGATCTGCAATTTGTGACGAGATAGTTGGAACATTACTTGTGTGGCTCTATTTGTTGATAGCAAATAACGCTAATACCCAGCCTCGCTCTGAACAAAATGCCTTGTTCCAAAAACATGGCAATTTTAAAAAAAACCTACGTTTTGGAGCCCCAGGTTGAGAAGGTGCCCCTATCTCCAAGCCACATGTCCTCTCACTAGTGATCTAAACCTTGACCAAAAGCCAAGAAATGAAATGAAATTGGGTTTAACAACCTACTGTTCTGCTCCGAACTGGGCTAATGAAGACGGGCATACGCCATACAGTGTACTATGAGGGAAATTTTGCCCTGACAGCGGCACTACAGTCTACTCTTATATCGAATTCCAACTGTCAAGGGATCTTTTACGTGCATGCCAATGTGTACAAGGGACCTTGGTTTTTTTTCGTCCCATCTGAAAGATCCGAACGACTAGAAAGCTTTCTTTATCAGGTCCTCCATCCTACATCGCTGACAAGGGGGAACCACGCAAGAAAATCTGAATGAACTTTCTCAGTCATTGCAGCGATCGAACATTCGACCTCCAGGCTAGCGAGCCAGCATCTTACCCACTTAGCCACCGTGACCCTTCAAAATCCAAGAGGTGGCTGACACTAGGCCATCCTAATCCTAATCTCTTAGAACTAAACAGTCCTTAAATAGCTAGTTGACACGAAGATACAAGATCCACAAATGGTTACAATAATTTTTGATTTGAAAACCAGCTGGCACAGACACAGTACTTAGAAGAACTTTAATCAATTTAATATTATGAAAGACAATTAATGATTTCTTATTTACAAAGCAGCACAATTTAATACAGAAAACAGCATGAAAAAGACATTTTAAACTTGATATCACAATAAATATATTACAGATAAAAGCTAAGTTGATCATTTACACCAATAAAAGTTAATTAGAACACCACAAGGTCAAGAATTCATCTGTTGAGGATTCAATTACACAAATTAGCATAATTTATCTGATGAGAATTCCACTGATTAGCATAATTTATATCTTAAATTTCACTAATTACCAAAATCTATATAATAAATTTAACTAATTAGCATAATTTATACGTTGAGAATTTCCCTGATTAGCATAATCTATATTTTAAATTTCACTAATTAGCATAATTTATATGTTGAGAATTCCCCTGATTAGCATAATCTATATTTTAAATTTCACTAATTAGAATAATTTATATATTGAATTCAACTAATTAGTATAATCTGTATTTTAAATTTCACTAATTAACATAAATTATATGTTGAGAATTCCACCACTTTTATGTTGTATTCTATTAATTAGCATAATTTACACGTTGAATTTCATTAATTAGCAGAATTTATATGCATACGATTACAGACAATTTTATTAGTTGTATGTCAAAAATATATGGAAATATACACGGACATCTCACTGGGGTGCAATGTGTTGAATTTAAGACGACTTAAGGTATTTTATAAAATTCCATTTCATAAGATATTTTAGTCAACATAAGGTATTATGTTAATATGGTTGACTGGTAAGGTATTATGTTAAAACATTATTTTACATAAGGTATTTTAGTGAACGTAAGGTATTATGTTAATATGGTAGACTTGTAAGGTATTATTTTAAAACTTTATTTTACATAAGGTATTTTAGTCAACGTAAAGTATTATGTTAATATGGTTGACTTGTAAGGTATTATGTAAAACTTTATTTTACATAAGGTATTTTGTTGAATTTATTTTACACATATAGAAATCACTTGTAATATTCTACTGGACATATGTTAAAGATACATTAGCCCCTTAACTGCTAATATGGTTGACTTGTAAGGTATTATGTAAAACTTTATTTTACATAAGGTATTTTAGTCAACGTAAAGTATTATGTTAATATGGTAGACTTGTAAAGCATTATGTAAAACTTTATTTTACATAAGGTATTTTGTTGAATTTATTTTACACTTATAGAAATTACTTGTAATATTCTACTGGACATATGTTAAAGATACATTAGCCCCTTAACTGCGTAGGACGTTAGGACAACTGCGTAGGACAACTGCCACTCACCGTGTGTAGGACGTAATATAACGCCCTGGAGGTATTTTCCCCAACCTATTCTTCGAACACGATCTCAGCATGCGAAAGACGTATGCGAAAGACGTTATATTACGCCTGGTCGAGGAAATCTAATTGAAGGGAGACAATTTTATTTACTGTTAGTTTTAATATGGTTTAAGACCATTAAAATTTGTATTCAGGAAAAAATAGGCCCAAAAATGACGTTTTTCGTCAAATTAATTACGCAATAGGGGGTAGTTAACGTCATGGGAGATAAGATAAAGAGCTGACAGTTCTCACTATAACAGTTAAAAACTAGATAATGTAAAGGCAATTTGCTGAAAATTTCTGTCAAATTGATACACTATGAACCGAGAATGAAGCGATTGAAATTTTGGCCTAGCCTCGATCATCATTACTACAATAAAAAACATAGTCTTGATCATCCATTTCATGATTAAATTATGAATAGAAGTCAAGAAGCAAATGGGATCATAATCCAGAAAATATCGCACGCTAGTGATGCCATCGAGAGTTGATAATTGAATTTTAGTAGACATTATTATGTTAAATTTTATTTTACATAATATAGGGTATTGTGTTAAAATTCATTTTGCATACAAGGCATTATGTTTTAATCTAGTTAACATACAAGATATTGTAGTCGACATATATAAGGTATAATGTTGAATTTAGTTTAAAAATAAGGTATTATGTTGAATTTCAGTTGACATATATGGTATTATGTAGAATTTCAATTGGACAGGCGACCCTACTCCTTGTCATTATTTTACATAAGGTATTGTTGAGATATAAAATATTTTGTTGATCTTAACAATGTTCATGTTTAAAGATACATTATTGGAGATTAGATAACGAGCTGGCAGTTCTAACTACAATAGTTAAAAACTAGATAATGTAAAGGCAATTTGCTGAAAATTTCAGTCAAATTGATCCACTATGAACCGAGAAATAAGCGATCAAAAGTTCCGCATAGCCTCGGTCATCATTACTAAAGTGGGTACGACAAAAATCATAGTCTCGATTATCCATTTAATCGTTAAATCGAGAAAGAAAGTTATGCAGCAAATCGGATCACAATCCAACAAATATCGCAGGGTAGCGTTGACCTACAATAGGCAGATTTAGCTCTGTATTTAGCATAATGTATGTTTAATACAGTCGGAATGAATCTTGTTTTGTAACTTTGTACATAGGCCTACAAATGAATATGTTACAAACAATCAAAATGACTATACTATATGAAATATTAGTTTATGGTTTCATTCTGACTAAATACAAACAAACAAAGAACCACACAGAATACTTCTGACTAAAAACAAACACAACAAACAAACACTCAACATTTCTGACTAAAGACAACACAACAAACAAAGAACCATACGGAATGTTTCAAGTCAGAGTATAAAATGTAGATCAAAACAACACATTCAATATTTAAAAATCTTAAAAAGAAAGGCAGATTATATTTACATCAAGTTTAAATGAGGTTTATATAATATACACTTTGTTATTTGGCTGGGTCCATTATCAAGAAAACTTATTTCTCTTTTGGCAAATTTATGCGAAGGAAACTAGTTTTGTTTTTAAAAAAGAACTGTCCTAATTATTTTTTTGGATTAAACAAGTTTCAAAAAGGTTTTATTCAACACAAGGTATAATTTTATGGATACACAATTACCGAGTTTAATACTAAGCGACTCCACGAAGATACTCTTGTCTTTATCAAGCAAATAATACCTTGTCCCTTGTGTTAATATGTTCAATTACTAAATGCCAATCAAAGAAGGGTTTTATTTATTCAATGTTTGTGGGAAGTTTCAAAGATAGGTTGCCGGGCAACGAAACATACGCCCACAGCAGCTATATCATCCGGGCAGTCAACAAGAGTTGTCGCATATTTTTACTTTTTTCGGTAATGAAACATTTATAATACATTAAAATCTGATTAAGAGTAACAACTCATTAAGTAATTATCAGAAAATCATTAGACTCAATGGTAGACCTTATGATGCAACGCACACACGTTAACCTTCGGCCATCCTCCCCCCCCCCCCTTCCATCAATTCAAACGGCAAAATTAAAATTAAGTTTTTTTCAATTTGAAATTATCGCTGTTAACATTGGTGTACATATTTCCCAACTTAATTTTGTTTACACATTTCTGATTACTAGGACCTATACTTGAGTTTTCATGTGTTGTCCCCAGGCATCACAAAACCTCTGCATGCCATTGTCTTGAAGCAATAAATATTATAATTAAGCCTATGGATTTCTTATTATCATACATATATAAATAATGGACATTGAAGGCCTGTGGAGCATATTAACAGGTAAAATACATATCAAACAAATATTTTACAATTAGTTTCACAGATCCACCGTGTGGACATAATGTCCGTCTTGTACTCAGGCCCCGAATTCACAAAGCATTCTAAGACTTTAAGTTAAGAATTTACTCAAAATTGTTTGCCTTATTTTAACTAAAATATAGCTCTTTATAAAACTTTTGTTGTTTTAATGTATCAAATACATCAATAAGAAACTATGTGAAAAGTTTTGTGTTTCTAGATCAAAGATATTTCTCATAAACAGTGATTGAAAGTAGAGTAAATTCTCAACTTAAGTCTGAGAATGCTTTGTGAACTTGGGGTCTGGTCTGCATCGAACAGAGTTAACTATCACTTATAGACAATATGGTTTTGTGTTTCTGAATCAAATATATTTCTCATAAACAGTGATTGAAAGTTGAATAAATGCTTAACTTAAGTCTCAGAATGCTTTGTGAACTTGGGGCCTGGTCTGCATCGAACAGAGTTAACTGTCACTTATAAACCCTGTCTACATTACAAATTTAAAGCGTACCAGGCAGGGTACCAGGTACGGCACGCTTCGCTTTTTTGAAGTGTACACGGGTCAAACGTAAGCGTGCCGCACCTGGTACAGTGCCAATCTGGCCCACTGAAGTGAGGTGGTCTCGGAACGGTACCAGGACCGGCTCGCTTTAAATTTTCGTAGTGTAAACGCTAACCGGTCTGAGCACAGATTACTACGCATGCGACAAATGAACCTTGACCTTCCCCCCCCCCCCACAAACTTTGACAGCTCTGTCATCAGTTCTGTCAAAATGGCTGCTCAAACTAAATCAACAATCATAATTGTTTTCATCTGGGTAATTTGTATAGGGACTGAAATTAACTTTTCTGTGAAGAGTTCCACATTTAGCGTGCTTGGAACGGTTCTGAGACCAGTTATTTTAGAGTAATGTAAACGGGTCAATTTCTTGAAATTTATCGCGGCCTGGTACCGTGCCCAGAACGGCACGCTTATCGCGGCCAAGTGTAAACGGGGCAAAAGACAATATGGTCACCAAGAGCACCAATTAATTAATCTATAAATTACTCAAATACCACTTGAGAAAGTAAACAGTTGTAAACCAAATACATGTTATCACAATCTGATTAAAACACAGATCCTATTTCGTTTTGTTTTTTTATAGTTTAAAATTTCGCTTTACTTGTCTTTACTATACTAGGATCTGGAAGAGTTGTTATCATTATTGTCTTCTGAATGATGTGAGCTATTAGCCAATGAAACGGTCTGTTACGGCGAGCTTTAGGCGTGTTTTGAACGGAACTGTGGGTAATCCACTAGTAACATCAATGCTGATTGGTTAATCAAATGTCTGACGTCATAGGGTCAAAAGCCGCTCATATGACCTCTGACGCGACCTATAGTTACAACCGGTCAGATCTTCATGTAGTGTAGGCCAACGAGAGTATAAAAAAAAACGAAACGAAATATAGATCTGTATTTAGTCAGATTGATGTTATCAGGGTTCACACTGTTGGTCGCCAAAGTCGCAATTTGCGATAAAAATATCAAAGTTGTTATCTAATCTTGACAGACCATTTTAAACCACACGACAGTACGAACCACTTATTGTTTGATGATTCTCAACAAATTTTACAATTTGTCAACAATGGTTTAAAACGAAACATTAAATACGGAAACACTAATTGTTTGATGATTCTCATGGTTTCAAACCAAACATCAAATACAGAAACACCTGCTAAAACACCACAACTACGTGATACTTGAGTTGTTGTGCCAGAGCATTACTCATGAACCCAATAGCTGAGACACATTAATTTCATGTCATTAATCTTTACTTTTCCTAGTCCGAGTAATACCCCCGTCAGACCGGGGTGGCATCCTTACTTCGCTGCTATGGCGACGGAAAATGGTCTCAGAGCGCATCAAGATCGCCATAAGTGAGGTGGAAATGTCAGATGTCGTGCTGTGGTGTCCATGGTCGCAAATGGTTGCCGAGTAACGGCATTCGTTTTGGGCATGTTCAAAACAACCGCCAAGCTTCTGTGATCTGACCTGGAAAGCTGTGTTTGTAATTTTTATGGACATTTTCTCGCGTTGCGTTCATGTTTGCCGGCGACCTTGTGCATATTCTGGTCGATACTACTGTCGCAGCAGCGCATTAAAAACACCATTCCGGTCTGACGGGGGCATGAATTGACAATGGAAACAATATTTTACTTTCTAGCCTTATTTTTATCACATTTTATATTTAAAATAAAATAATTCTGTAAATAAACAACAAATTAACAAGTTGATTAACATAATCTTAACAAAACAATAACTAAACAAAATCAATTCTTAGTTAATAAAACAATAATTAGACTAATTTAATATTTAATTCCATGAGGTCCTAATCACTAAATAACTACTGGTATTCAAGTCTCATGGACGATATATTTTGTTTAAAATTTGAAAACTTAAACAATTTTAAACAAAAAAGTCAATAAGAACTTTTCGTTTTTTAAATGAAGAAGCAAAATTTTAATGATGTTCCCGAAGAAATAACGTCCAGATTTGATATGGACATAGTATGACAGCACATGCAGATTGATATTTTTGTAAGAAAGATGGAAATTCATATCTGTAGTTAGTATTCCTGACATAAATATCACTGTAAAGTTGATATCGTTGACTAAGCAACAAATTACTGTTATAAATGAAAATATACGACACTAATAGATCAAAGTTGTCAGTTTATATACGTAATGAGTATTAGTTAATTAAATTGTTAGTAATCATGGAGTTGTCATTAAGTAGGTGGTTTGTCACTGAGATGTTAAAACTATGACTATTGAATGATATAGATCACTATTGTCCAGGTTTGTGTATTCAATAGTGATGGGTTTTATAAATAGTCACACTTTTACACAAGTAGTGATATCTTTTACGGCTAGTTACACACCTGCTAATTAATGACAACTGTATATTTTCTAACCACTATCTTTACATACTTAACATTAGTTTAGAATACTGATCACTTATATGATTTAATGACAAAAATTGTCATTACTAAAAGGCCTAGCTTCAGTAGTCAATGGTATCAGCTTACCGTTGAAGTAATACAGAATAAAAGTATTTTACAACATCGTTTTCAAAAATGTTGACCAATGTTGAAGAACAAACTTCATGTCTGTTTACTGCCTAAGAATAGGGATCATATACGGCCGACATGGAACCCATGGAGCAACACTACTTGATTATAGTGAAGCCCAAGTATATAGGTTGCTTTCATTAATGTCAAGATGAAAAAAACTCCAAGCCTATTTACATTACTAGCATAGGGAGCAACACTGCTTCAAACATCAGCATTACAGTGAAGTGTAAAGGCTACACTTTGCAAATCTGCAGTGTGAATTACATCATGATTAACACATCCCCCACATCAACGAATTTAATTAGACCATGTCATTGTTGTCACATTTTATTCTGACAATTCAAAAAATTAAATGAATTATCATATTTGAAGTTTGTGTTTTCTAATCAAAATGTAAGTTTTCTTTAGAAAGAAAAAGATAGCAGTAATGTTAAAACATTTAGTCTGAACTTTCTGCAAAAACTGTTATTTTTAATGACGTGGTAGAAATTTTCACAAATCTTATAAAATGTGTGCTGTTGTCAAATGGGTGTGGTTATCTTTACTTTGCAGATAAGTTCATTGATATAGCTGTTGCTTGGATTCACTGACGATGAAAGCCCAAAGCACATTATGTTGAAGAAAAGATATTTTTGGTGACAGAATGTTGAAGGGAGATTATGTTAGAAAAATGTCAGTTATGTGTAGGATTCAGGGGCCCTGTCTCCATTAGCCCAGTCAGAGCAGAACAGAAGGACTTTAAACCCCATTTCATTTTATTTCGATTCAGGGACCTTACTCACAAAAACTTAAACTAAAATATTTTAAGAATGGACCCATTTCATTGGCCAAGAGATAAAACTTATACCAATAAAAATATTTAAACTTAAGTTTTTGCTAATAAGCTCCCTGGTTTATTACTTTGAAGCGTATCACTCGGCAAATTCCGGTTCACTTCATCTAACCTCGGCTGTATGACAGTAAGTGATATGTTCCTACATCTATACAATTGCGATGAGGCTACCGGTTTACTTATTAGGAAAACTTGCTGCTTCTAGAAAGAAGTTCAAAAAGTGTGGAGAATTTTCATTACAAAGTTGTCCTTGTTTAATGAAAATCGGATAAATTTGAAAGACAAACAGCTTAGAAAGCAATGTATGATAAAACATTCTTTATGGACACTGCCATAATCCAGGGAACTTGAAAGTAGTTCCAATGGCAGACTTCATCAGACAGCCGAGGCTAGATGTAGGGTACTGGAGTCTGCTGAGGTTTGCCGAGTTTCAGCGTACCTCTACATTTAACAGTTGGAGCTATGTGTTGAAAGTAGTTCCAATGGCAAACTTTGTCATAAAGCTGAGACTAGATATAGGGTACTGGAGTCTACTGAGGTTTGCCAAGTTTCAGTGTATCTCTACATTTAACAGTTGGAGCTATGTGTTGAAAGTAGTTCCAATGGCAAACTTTGTCATAAAGCCAAGACTCGATGTAGGTTACTGGAGTCTGCTGAGGTTTGACGAGTGTCAGTGTATCTCTACATTTAACAGTTGGAGCTATGTGTTGAAGAGAGTTTAAAACCACTGGTTTCTGCCTCGTGTATGTCATGTCTTTTCCCTGTATTTCTGTCATGATTTTTGTTCTTTTGTCGTTATATAATTAATATAATACATTTATGATATACGCAGTGTCAAATGAGTGTCACATGACTATCACATGACTATCACAAGCTTGCTGTTTATTGCACAGTTTAACATCACATTTCACAGGAAAATATTGGCAACAAATCAAAACTAACTGAAATCAAAAACTCGGCTAGCCATTAACTTCTTCCCATGATTCTATGCGATACAAAGGGTTGGGACTCTCCACCATGTTGTCTGACGATAAGCTAGTTTGTGATTCCGATATCGTCGATTCAGACATATTATTTCTAGTAGCATTACCTCCCCTTAATTTAGAATGTTTCTCATAATCATCCAGTTCAAATTCAGTTCTCGGTCGTAAAACTCCATTAAATGATTCAGGTGATTCAGCATTTTCTGAATTTTCTTCGCTACTCTGATAAAACATTTTCTGTCGTTTTCTCAGTAATTCTCGACGATTGTCGTGCTCTGCTGTCATAGCGATGTCGGAGTCTGGAGTCATAATGACGACGTCATCCTTATAATGGTTGTCATTAATGTTTATTTCGTCTTCATCCAGCAGATTCTGGGAGAATTTTAAAGTTCCGTTGAGGACATCTCTCACCTGCAAAATTAAATGTAAGTTCCAGTTTTAAGCAAGAAAAATTATTCCAGCAAATATCAAGAAATGAAATGCAAAATGAAATGAAATGAAATGGGGTTTAACGTCCTACTGTTCTGCTCGAAACTGGGCTAATGAAGACGGGCATACGCCATACAGTGTGCTAGGAGGGACTGCGGACCTCCTTTTATATCGCATTCCAACTGTCAAGGGATCTTTTACGTGCACTCCAATGTGTACACGGGACCTCGGTTTTTTGTCCCACCCAAATGACTAGACAGCTGTCCTTGTAAGGCCCTCCTTCCTGCATCAATGACATAGGGGGAACCACGCCAGAAAATTTGGGTGAACTTTCTCGGCCTATGCAGGGATCAAACACCCGACCTCCAGGCTAGCGAACAGTGTCTTAGCCACCATGATCCCCCGAAATGAAATGCAATGTGTAATGAGGTTAAATGAGAGAGAGAGAGAGAGAAATGGGGTTTAACGTCCACTCGACACAAACTAGGTCATTTCGGGACTAACATATGGTTTGATTTTATTTCAATAATTCACTTGCGCATAGGGGTCTTTAGCAGTGGGAGGAAACCGGAGGACCCGGAGAAAACCCACGAGGTTGGACAGGCGACTCTACTCCTTGTCACGTACAACCGGGGATTCAAAACCACGCCAGTCGACTCAATGACAGACTTTATGATACAGAGCGCGCACGCTAACCATTCAGCCATCCAACCCCCCTACTCAGTAAATATTAAACATACATTATGCAAGAGCAATATCTGTATATTGCAGGTCTTTCTTTAGGCCTGAAATCTTATCTAAATTATTAATTAGACATTAATTAACTTATCCAGGCCATAATCAACTTCGATATCATCGGATTTCTACGATATATAAATAGATTAGAACAGTTCAGCCATATTTTGTTTTAAGCTGAAAATGGAGGAGCGAGACTTAGATTCGAAAAATAAGTACGGTGGTTGAAATTATTGCACACGTCTTGTGAAACATTCAAAGGCTAATATCTTTGCTTACAATAGAGTAATTTGAATGAAAATTTCAAATTATTCATTTTACATTATCTATTTTCGAACTATTATAGCAAGAATGGCTAGCTCTTTATCTAAATCTTACATAACATATCTTTAAGAATTAAAATGGAGTTAAGCATCCTACATTTCTGGTCCAACTTGCCTAATGGAAATACTACACACAATGTGCTATGAGGAAAACTTTTCCTGGACAGGTAGCACTATGGCCTACTTTTCTGCTCCATCTTGCCTAATGGAAATACCACATGCACTGTGCTATGAGGGAAATTTTGCTTGGACAGGTAGCACTATGGCCTACCTTTATTTCCATTTCCAAATGTCAAGCGGTTTTAAATATGAGAGAGAGAGAGAAATGGGGTTTAAAGTCCACTCGACACAAACTAGGTCATTTCGGGACTAACATATGGTTCAATTTTATTTCCATAATTCGCTTGTGCGTAGGGGTCTTTAGCAGTGGGAGGAAACCAGAGGAGGTTTTAAATGTACTGCCAGGCCTTATGTTCGAAAGTGCACATTGCACATCTTAAACCATTCTATCACCCAACCCCCTACAACATTTTGAAACAATGCGTATTAAAAAATAACCAATCTTTTTATTGGCTTAGAAATACAACAAGTAAATGATAGGATTGTGACAAGAAGATGAAAGGATACACAACACAAACGAGTCAATTTCATAAAATATGTTTGATAGACGTCGTTCGGATGGGACATTGCACATCATAAACCATTCGATCACCCAACCCCCTACAACATTTTGAAACAATGTGTATTAAAAAATAACCAACCTTTTTATTGGCTTAGAAATACGACAAGTAAATGATAGGATTGTGACAAGAAGATGAAAGGATACACAACACAAACGAGTCAATCTCATAAAATATGTTGATAGACGTCGTTCGGATGGGACGAAAAAACCAGGTCCCATGTACAAATTGGCGTGCATGTAAAAGATCCCTTGGCAGTTGAAATTCGATATAAGAGTAGGCTGTATGTGCCGCTGTCCGGGCAAAATTTCCATCATAGCTGTATGACATCAGTCGGAGCACAACAGCAGGATGTTAAACCCCATTTCATTCTGATTCAATAATGTAGATATAACAAACCTGTTTGATTCCAGCTAAAGCCAGGAATATTTCCTCATTTTGTTCCATGTCTATTTGTTGTAATTCACTCTGTAAACGATCTGAAAAATATAAATCAATCTTTCTGTAGGCACACCCATAAACAGTTAATATAAAGAAGAGTAAGTCAAGAATATTATTGACATGAACTTGAAGTCGGAATTTGAATTAAATATGGAAAATATTGAGCAGGTGTACCTATTTTTTCATTTATAGTTCATGGTGGTAATGCACGTAAAAGATCCCTTGGCAGTTGGAATTCGATATAAGAGTAGGCTATAGTGCCGCTGCCCGGGCAAAATTTCCCTCATAGCACACTGTATGGCGTATGCCCGTCTTCATTAGCCCAGTATAGGAGCAGAATAGTAGGACGTTAAACCCCATTTCATTTCATTTCACTTTATGGTGGTATTCATAAATATTAGCCTATTCACAATACAATAGGCTACCAGAACTATTTTTGTTGAACTTAGTTGAAGGCTGGTTACATAAAAGAGAATGGGAGCTTACTGACCCTACGTCCTAAAGGTGACAAACTGATTGATTCTACTAGGCCTCTGGCTAGTTCGTTTCAGAAAAAATTAAAGAGAGAGAGAGAGAGAAATGGGGTTTAACGTCAACTTGACACAAACTAGGTTATTTCGGGACTAACATATGGTTCAATTTTATTTCTATAATTCGCTTGCGTGTAGGGGTCTTTAGCAGTTGGAGGAAACCGGAGGATCCGGAGAAAACCGACGAAGTTGGACAGGCGACCCTACTCCTTGTCACGTACAACCAGGGAATCGAAACCATGCCAGTTGACTCAAAGACAGACTTTATGATACAGCACGCATGTGCTAACCATTCAGCCATCCCCCACTCCCCCTCAGAAAGGATTAAAAACCCTGGAGGATTGAAAAGAACGAGAGAATACCCTAATCTGAACCTATGGTCTGCAGAAAAAGCCCCTCACAAAAAAGTGTACTACTTTTCATTATAGTTAATCTTATACTTTTTCTACAAAATGAAATGGGGTTTAACACTGTTCTACTCAGAACGGGCTAATGAAGCCGGAACTGTTCTGCAAGGGCTTCCAAATTTTGCCTACTGGTCAATTTATGATGTATTTAAAATATCAAGATATTTTTCCAAACAGAATGTCACACTTCATCCCTGCATTAAAATCTACCCTGCTTTAAATGGTAAAAAGGTGTATGCAATTACACATAAAGCTGTTTTAGCTCTTTCTAAGATTTAAAGAGATCACAGAAAAGGGAGGTAATCAGGATTTGTATCCAAGAGACCAGGGGTTATACTTATTGGGGATGCTCAATTGTCAGTCTTGACAGAATTGCAATTGAATGGCCTGAAATTCAGTCCTGCCAAAGTCCTGACAACTGGGTGGTGTGAGTAGAATCGTGACATGACTAAACACAACGAATATGTTTCTGCTGCCATAGTTGCTTGATCTATTTTCTTATGCAGTCGACGCATGCGTTGTAGCCCGAGATTCCCTTTTTCGCTCAATTGTCACTATCTTTGGGATTTAGAGAATTGAATTTTACAACATTCAATGGAGCATCCACATTGTGTTGCACTTTGACTATAACCCTTATTTGAAATATAATATTATAAACATACCAATATGTACATCCAGTTTACTTGAACAATACCGGGACATGGTCTCCTTTTCATTTAATCTACCTTGTAGATATGATATATGATGTTGGATATCATTCTCCTGCTAAAAATAAACATTTAGCGATAGAGTTAAATCTTAACAGAACACAATTTTTATGGGAAACAATCACTGGTTTGATTCTAAAAGCTTGACATTTCGACAAGTATTCTCTTATCGTTACCAAGCACTTCTTATTGTTATCTTATTTCTGTAAATGGTTTCACCATGAATATCTTATATCAGTGATTCTCAACCAGTGAAAAACCACATGATCCCAATTGAGTATTCACTGGTGTCTACTGATAAGTTTATAGCTGTGTTTTTCTTTACTTAGTTCGAGTCATTCTATATGTCCATGACTAGTCTCTGTCTACGTTTGAATGTCGTCTGACTTATCATGTTTTTATTTGGCAAAATTCAAATATATATTCATATATATTTAGCCAGGTGTGCCGCTGTGTTTTCATGTGTTCCAAGGTGTGCTGTTGGCAAAAAAAAGTGAGAACCACTGTCATAGACACATGCATGTATAGACCTCAAATTTACTAAATGTCAATGTTCTTGATAATGATTCCGGCGTGGTTTCCCCTTGTCAGTGATGCAGGACGGAGGGCCTGACAAGGACAGCTGTCTAGTCGTTCGGATGGTAGGAAAAACCGAGGTCCCGTGTACACATTGGCGTGCACGTAAAAGATCCCTTGGCAGTTGGAATTCGATATAAGAGTAGGCCGTAGCGCCGCTGCCCGGGCAAAATTTCCCTCATAGCACACTGTATGGCATATGCCCGTCTTCATTAGCCCGGGTTAGGAGCAGAACAGTAGGACGTTAAACCCCATTTCATTTCATTTCATTTTTGTTGATAATGATGATAGGTTGAAACCTGGTCAATTTAAATTCAAACCTGTGATTGTTTCCCTGTGATATCGGTAGATCATGGCCAACGAAAAATCCTTGAAATGAAATAGGGTTTACATTCTGCATACCATTTCCCTCTAAGAGTCTCACTTTGATATTCATTCTGCCAATAGCTAAATATTTATGCTTATTTGGTGATTCACATATGAATGCTGAATTCTCTTCAGTGAATATACCTATTGAGAGTCAGAGGGAGAGAGCGAGAGAGAGAGAGAGAGAGAGAGAGAGAGAGAGAGATGGGTTTACCCTCCACTAGACACAAACTAGGTCATTTTGGGACTAACATATGGTTCAATTTTATTTCAATATTTTGCTTGCGCGTAGGGGTCTATAGCAGTGGGGTTGGACCCACACGCTAACCATTCGATTCGGCCATCCAACCCCGCTATCTTGAAGAAAATAATTATCAACCATACCATCTTGGTGAGCTTTTTGCCACCTCTATTTCTGCCACCTCTGTTAGGGAGAGTAGAATATTTGGTAGGAGAACTGTGAAGCGATTCATTCTCACTGATAGCACCAGGACTATAGCCAGCAGGACTAGAATGGTATGATCGTAAACTGGATGTTTCTAATCTGGCGAGACTGGAAGCCGATGGTGTCTGACGTAGCGTGGTGTTCTCTAGTACTGGGAGACTGGCCGTAGATCCTCGCTTTCCTTCCGGGGGATTGGGGCTTGCTGAAACGATAAATACACTTATTTATATTTATTTGGCTAATTTTTATTATTTTTTCGTTGAGATTGTTATCTGTATAGACTTTGAAACATACAGTAAACTTCGCATAAGTTGGATCTCAGTGGACTGACCAATTTTATCCAAGTTAAGCGAAAATCTAAGTTAGCTGAAGACCAAAATTCTAATCTTAGCTCGATTAGAAAAAAACTGCAAGAGCCGGAAATTTTTTTGATTCAAAGGCACATTTCAAGCTTCTGTTTGTATGTGCGAGTAGATAACTTCCGTTTTGGTGTGAGAAGATAACTTCCGTTTTGTCGCCATCTTTGAAAAATGTCCTAAATTTTCACAGAAAGTGTCTCGTACAGCAGACAGCGAGTTTCGAATTTTGAGTCAAAATGATAGGGGAAATTATTTTGGGGCTCTGTGCATGGAATACCTAACCACGTTTTAGACCATCGGGACAAAACTGACTTCGTCAAATTCTGACCATACTACCAATCCCACAAAGGAAAAGGAAAAAAAGCCGAAATTATATCAAATGGACCAAACATTTTGAGCTGAGTTGAGCTAAGATGCGACTCAGGAAATCTGACTTACGCACAGAAATTTAATAAGAAAAACGTGCAGGATCAAAGGGTCCAAACGATTTTATCCAAGTTGAGCGAAGATCCGACTTACACGAATTCGACTTATGCAAAGTTTACTGCATATGTAATAAATCTACTTTTACATTATTTTTGTTACTTTTATTTGCTTAAATAACTAGTAAATTTCAACTTTCATTCGAATTTTTGTGAAATTTGTTAAATATGTCATAAAGTGTATAATGACGTTACATTATGTGAGCAGATATGCTTTTCTGCCCGACTTACATATTAAAACAACTAACTTTATACAAAAATACCTTAAAATCTCTACAAAAAGCCACATTACAAAACATTGGATTTCTATTGGTTAAATAAATAATCAGGGTCAGATTGAAGAGGGGGAGGGGCTGACTGAATGGGCTACAACTAAAGGCCCCAAAAGTGGTTCTAATAAAATTTCTGCACCATAAATAAATATGTCATTTAATCTACCATACTGACATACAAATTGCATTTGTTTGAGTTTGGAGTGGGTAAGACGCTAGCTCGCTAGCCTGGAGGTCGGGTGTTCGATCCCTGCATTGGCCGAGAAAGTTCATCCAGATTTTCCGGCGTGGTTCTCCCTTGTCAGTGATGCAGGATGGAGGGGCTGACAAGGAAAGCTGTCTAGTCGTTCGGATGGGACGAAAAACCGAGGTCCCGTGTACAAATTGGCGTGCACGTAAAAGATCCCTTGGCAGTTGGAATTCGATATAAGAGTAGGCTGTAGTGCCGCTGTCCGGGCAAAATTTCCCTCATAGCACACTGTATGGCGTATGCCCGTCTTCATTAGCCCAGGTTAGGAGCAGAACAGTAGGACGTTAAACTCCATTTCATTTCATTTCATTTCATTTCTGTTTGAGTTTGGGGAACAATGACCAGATTATGCCCCTTTTCACTGTTGATGGCCCGACTCTGTAGATAATAAAATAATTCAGATAAACTAGACTAATAAAGTATTTAGACGAAAACACATTTATTACAGAACTTTTGAATAGTGGATAAATTCTAGCTAGCTATTATTAAAATCAAAATAACTCTCAACACAGAAATGGATAAAATTCTACATCCATGGACAATGCCAATTGACATCCACAGTCATGTCCCAACGACCCTTTGGTGAAGGCCAATAAATATAAAGTAAAGGACAATGAACAGATAGAAATGAAATGGGATTTGCTTCAACCTGACTAATACAGAAAGGACTACGATATGCCAGGCAGTCAGGGGTGTGGTGATCAAGATAACCTCCGAGCCCCCAAGAAACAATTGTGCAGGGGAGGGGAAGCGCCCCTCCTAGTGCCGCAGAGTAATATTTGGCTGTGTGGAATATTCTAGAGTCGATTTGTAGCATATCTAACCCACGGTATATGTTTGATACTGCTTAAGCATTATGATTATGATAATAATGTTGAAAACTGCATTGAAACTGCATGATTTTTGCCATTTGTGAGGGGTGCAAAGACTCAAGGAGGTGCAAAAACCATGAGTGTGGCATTGCATCCCTCTCACTTAGCCCCTGCATGGAGTGCGCCATGAGGGAAATTGTGCTCGAATGGCAACGCTAAGGCCTCTGCTCATATCTCAAATTTCAATTTCAGTCTGATATACTGTATGCCTTCAACATGATAGGAACCTTCAATTGACTATAAATTAATAATAATTATTAATATTTGCTGTCTATCTGGTCATGTTCCTTGACAAAGATAAAGATGAAAGGGATGGGGACAATAACCATGGCTGCTAGAACAAAAACAATACAAATAAAGAACAACCAAAATTAAAAATATCAAGAAAACACCTATACATGAATTAAGTAAAAAAAAACCCAAAAAAACTAAAGCAGGAATAATCTTTAACCAAGAACAAAATATCTAGCAAAACATGGACATGCAACAACTGCACAATGGATGCTTTCAATAAGGCAAAACAAGTCTGTAACAATTATTGTCATAAACTATAAACATACTTATGGAAAACAGCTACTGATTTATTTAGGCGACGTTTCGAAGATTATTAGCTTGAAAACGTTGAGAGAATACTCTTTGAAACGTCGCCTAAATAAATCAGTAGCTGTTTTCCATAAGTATGTTTATAGTTTATTTATCTGCCCAGTTACTAAATGCCACATAAAGAAGAAAATTATTGTCAGATGATACAAATGCTACATGAAGATTACTTTACTGAAAGTGACACGACACGACACTAACACCATGTGACATCAAAACTACCTGGTGACATCTCCGTTTGTAAATTCATCGGTTCACTCGAAGATTTTGGCAGTTTTTTAGATGATGAAACAGCGAGTGTTTTGGGTCTGTTGAATCTACGAGAAAATGTTGAGAAGCCTCCCACAACTCCTCCTGCTCCGTGTTTAGATCGGCTGTTAGAAAGGGCAGCTAAATAAAGGGAAAATTATCGTTAAATGCTATATATAAAAACCTCCATGCCGTTTTTTTTTGTTTTTTTTAAATGTGCGAGGTCTTCACGATAAATGAATCCTTCAAATTTACACCAACAGTGATACATGTCATTAATAACATTTTATTGAGAAATAAATAAATTCTGCATGCCATTTTATGAACCACTCTACCATTTTACAATGCAATTGATTGATGGCAGGATTTCCCAGTCATAACCATCATGATTTCCCAGCAAGAGCTCTCTTGTAGCTGTAACCATCATGATTCCATGCCAGGAGCTCTTACGTAGCCGTAAACATAATGATTTCCTAGCAGGAACTCTCACGTAGCTGTAACCATCATGATTCCAAGCCAGGAGCTCTTACATAGCCATAACCATAATGATTTCGCAGCAAGACCTCTCACGTAGCCTTAACCATCATGATTTCGCAACAAGAGCTCTTACAAAGCCGTAACCATTGTATATTCAACCATTTTTAACACCCGGTGTTTTATGAAATTTTGAACTATAAACTTTACATTTCTAGTCGATTAGAAATATTATACTTTGAGATATAGTAAGTGTTGCTTGTTGAATAGATGACCTAATTATTTTCAAGGGAATACATCTTTAAAATAAAAATCTTTAAAATATGACTTGTAAATTGATTGACAGCAACGTTTTTCAGTGTTTCAATTTCAGTGTTTTATTCAGTCTGGAAGGCTAAATATAACCAATAGATGATTGGTGGTTTCCATGAAATGTGTGATGTTTTACACCAGGGATCTTAATCGGCTGTTTTTTGTCGGCTTTAGCCGATTGATCTTTAATCTAGCCGATTGGTAAACAATGAACCGGCCACTAAGGTATCACAAATCAATCTACTTTCGGACGATTTACAAAGAATTAATTATCGGGCCGATTGTATAATACGGGTAACAGTAAAAATAAACTAATCGGAATCACGACAATTGACCGCGTGACCTTTCGCACGTACAGCATATTATTCTGAGTTCCGACTATACACGGAAACTGATTTGTGCTACGTTATTATTTATATACTTATGTACTTTGTTGTTTTTATATATATTAACATGTGCTTACAAATAAAATAATTTAAAACCCATTTGTATGTACTTGTAGTTTTTACTAATTTATAACTTCCGTTTAGTTGGATGAAAGCAAAAGTAGGAATATGCAATGCAAGTTTCTGAAATAATAATGTCGATATTATAGCGATGTATGAATACAAGTATGCAATTACAAAGGTCTTGTTTATTCGGAGTTTCAGCTATTATTATCCCGAATACATTATGCAATTAGTGAATTATACAATTACTGTCGTGAATAGAGTATGCATAAACTAACATGTTTGTTGTTGAAAAGACGACTAATCCGTTAGGCCTAACCGTGGCCGGTTCATTTCAAAATGGATTAAGAACCCTGTTTTACACCCTACCAAGATGAAGTCCATGAACCATAACCATCATGTTTTCAAGCATTTTGTGCACTCAGTGTTTTAATGTGAGAGTAGCTGCCATAACCATCATGACAACCCAGAATGCCTGTGCATGTTATCATACGAGTGTTGGAATATTTTACCATGTCTTCTTATCCTATACGGTTTTATGTTCATGTACAGCTCTAATCCTATAAATATAATCCTATATGGTTTTATAACTATAATCCTATAAATATAATCCTATATGGTTTTATAACTCTAATCCTATAAATATAATTCTATATGGTTTTATAACTCTAATCCTATAAATATAATCCTATATGGTTTTATAACTCTAATCCTATAAATATAATCCTATATTGTTTTATAACTCTAATCCTATAAATATAATCCTATATGGGTTTATAACTATAATCCTATAAATATAATCCTATATGGTTTTATAACTCTAATCCTATAAATATAATCCCATATGGTTTTATAACTGTAATCCTATAAATATAATCCTATATTGTTTTATAACTCTAATCCTATAAATATAATTCTATATGGTTTTATAACTCTAATCCTATAAATATAATCCTATATGGTTTAATAACTGTAATTCTATAAATATAATCCTATATGGTTTTATAACTGTAATTCTATAAATATAATCCCATATGGTTTTATAACTGTAATCCTATAAATATAATCCTATATTGTTTTATAACTCTAATCCTATAAATATAATCCTATATGGTTTTATAACTGTAATCCTATAAATATAATCCTATATTGTTTTATAACTATAATCCTATAAATATAATCCTATACGGGTTTATAACTGTAATCCTATAAATATTAATCCTATATGGTTTTATAACTGTAAACCTATAAATATAATCCTATATGGTTTTATAACTGTAAACCTATAAATATAATCCTATATGGTTTTATAACTGTAATCCTATAAATATAGTCCTACATGGTTTTATAACTATAATCGTATAAATACAAATCTGCATGGTATTATAACTGTAATCCTATAAATATAATCCCATAGGGTTTTATAACTGTAACCCTATAAATATAATCCTATAGGGTTTTATAACTATAATCCTATAAATATAATCCTATATGGTTTAATAACTGTAATTCTATAAATATAATCCTATATGGTTTTATAACTGTAATCCTATAAATATAATCCTATATGGTTTTATAACTATAATCCTATAAATATAATCCTATGTTGTTTTATAACTCTAATCCTATAACTATAATCCTATATGGTTTTATAACTATAATCCTATAAATATAATCCTATGTTGTTTTATAACTCTAATCCTATAACTATAATCCTATATGGTTTTATAACTGTAATCCTATAAATATAATCATATATGGTTTTATATCTGTACGGTTTTATAACTGTAATTCTATAAATATAATCATATACAGTTTTATAACTGCAGAATGTTGCAAAATATTTTCATTTCATCCTATCTTTGTAAATACTGAATGGAATTGAACCTGAATTATAGTTTGCGAGATTTCAAAATCTCTTAAATCATAATCAGGGACTTAAAATGTTATGAAAACTTGTAGTTTGCCTTGTTGTAAACACTCTATATAAAATATCTATATAGCTTTTCATCACAGATTCAATTTTGATTTTCCAAAGTTTAAATTTTTATTTCAATTTTTCAAAGATACGATTTGTTTAAATAGTTTTTTCACAACAATATATAAGATCTAGCATGATTTTCAAGTCATATGTATTCTATTTTACCCCCCAAATTCTGTTTGGTTCATCTCGGGATGATTGTAAAAAAAAGGTATATATACTGTTTGATACTCATCCTTTGATGAGGACTAGTAAGTTTGTTTAACTGTGGGAGAACCCAGAGTGAACCCATTAGATTAGAAGTAAACCCATCAGGGTTAGGACTAGTAATTCCAGAATAAACCCACCAGGGTTAGGACTAGTAATTCAAGAATAAATCCACCTGGGTTAGGACTATTAATTCGAGAACAGACCCACCAGGATTAGGACTAGTAACTTCCTTATAAAACCATCGTGTTAGCACTAGTAATTCCAGAATCAACCAATCTTGTTATGACTAGTAATTCGAGAACAAACCCGCCGGGATTAGGACAAGTAACTTGCTTATAAAACCATCGTATTAGGACTAGTAATTCCAGATGGTGTTAGCACTAGTAATTCCAGAATAAACCCATCAGGTTAGCAGCAGTAACTCCTATACATAGAATTAATATCATTCTTTCCATACAAAATATGGATAATGTCCTATAATTCTGATATGAATTAACATTAAAACTCTTTCTATACATAAATATGAATAATTTCCTATAATTCTGATACTAATTTTAAAGCTGATTCTTTCTATACAATAATGTGAATAATGTATCGTAATTCTGATATGAAATTAATTTTAAAACTGATTCTTTCTATACAATAATGTGAATAATGTCTTATAATTCCGATATGATATTAATTTCAACACTGATTCTTTCTATACAATAATATCCTGTAATTCCTACCTTTATGATTCCTGGTTTTTCCTGGTATTTTATTAACAGTCTGGTATGTGTAATTTGGTGGCCGTGGATATTGCTAGAATATAGAATTAACATTTTTACAGTTCATTACAACGCTGCTTTTTCAAGTTGAACAAAAACGCTGATACATAAAATAACTTCTTGTTTGACACTAACATCACTTTGAAGATACTTCCCTGACTACAAACTGTGTGATTTGATGATATATTTGGACTAAAAACATATTCAAACTAATTAATCTATCAAATGTTGTGATTGGAAAAAGTATGGAAATGAAATGAAATGAAATGGGGTTTAATGTCCTACTGTTCTGCTCTGATTGGGCTAATAAAGACGGGCATACGCCTACTCTTATATCGAATTCCAACTGCCAAGGGATCTTTTACGTGCATGCCAATGTATTCACGGGACCTTGTTTTTTCGTCCCATCATAACGACTAGACAGCTGTCCTTGTCAGGCCCTCCATCCTGCACCACTGACAAGGGGAAACCATGTTTTAAAATCCTGATGAACTTTCTCAGCCAATGCAAGGATCAAACACTAGCGAGCCAGCATCTTACCCACTTAGCCACAGTGGCTCCCGGAAGAAAAAATATGGATATTAATTACTTACGTTAGGTTCTCTAAGATAGAGAGATTTAACTATAAAATAATGAACATCAGGTACAGGTGGAAACTTCATTAATGTACTCAAACATGTCGCATAATCACTGGATAACACTGTAATAATAATAATATTGTCATTTATAAAGCGTGTTAATACTGAAGAAAATAATTTCTAAGGTACTGTTGGTTTTTATATTCACTGATTATTTACAGATCAGGGCTTTGAGATTTTAAATGGCCCACAGAGGGTAATTGTTTCATTGATTGTGGTAGTCTATTCCATGAGAGTGAGAGAGAGAGAGAGAGAGAGAGAGAGAGAAATGGGGTTTAACTCGACACAAACTAGTTAATTTCGGGACTAACATATGGCTCAACTTTATTTCAATAATTAGCACAGGGAGAAACCTGAATGCCCCGGAGAAAACCCACGAGCTTGAACAGACGACCCTACTCTTACTCAAGTACAAGTGGGGAATCGAAAACATGCCACTTGACTCAATGACAGACCTTATGATCCAAAGCTCACGCATCAAACCATTCGGCTACCCACCACCCCGCAAAATACAACCATATATAAAGGACATGTAAAAAACGGCTTATATAATTTTCGGGCGGAGGCAAGGTGGTTTACACAGTGACTTTGGGAAATAAGACAGTGAAAATGTTGCATTTTGCTACTCTCTATATGTATTTTGTAACATCTAAAACCAATCCAAACCAAAGTATGATTGGTTGAAGGAAAAAAACAGTTGCACCAAAAATGGTAGGTTTAGATCTCCTCTCTGACATCAGAGAAATTTGATGACTGACTATAACAAAAATTATTAAGTAAGGCATTAGGTAAGATTAGATAAAGAACTGACAGTTCTCGCTATAAGGCAACACAAATAAAATAACTTGTTTCTCGGGCACCGCCCGCACGCAAAATTGGTTGCGCGTGCAGTTTATTTATTAGTCTTGATGAAAAAAAATAAATATGTAACGCCCGCCCGCACATCGACAAGCAAGTCGTAAAAAAAATATCCCGCATGTACCTACATCCGCCATACATGTATATCTATTCAAATGTATTAAAAATGATTCAGATGAACATGCTGTCTTTTTTATCCGAACAATGGCGAAGTTTGGCAGATTTGCCTTTTTTATTGATATCGAAAGAACCTCCATTTTGTATCACGTGATATTAATTACCTCCCCTGATAAACTAGAATTTGATTCCTGTTAAAAGTCATTGGCGACAATATTTCAATCATTCGATCGTAATCGGCTCATTATTGCCGGCTTCAGTCGGTCCTTGTTTGGAAAATCCTATTGATAAAATAATGAACCGTAGAACAGGTTAATTAATTATAGCTAAGAATACGATACGATGACGATAGCCGTCATAATGCATACCGGTACCTTAGAATCTGGGTCATTATTAGCACATTTACGGTAGTTTCGATAATCCGGAAAATAATAATTGGATTACCGATTTGATGGTTTTACTGACCAGTTGTTAGTTAGATTTAAATAGTCATTCAATATAAACACCGGATAGAACACCGAATATCCTGAGAAACACACCGAATATCCCAAGAAACAGTATTTCCGGCAATCTCCAATACCGATGACACGGTGTGACATGCATTGGTTGGAATTCGGTAAATAATTATAAATAAACCGGCGATACTAGATTTAGTTTTAAATACTGTTTACCATGATTATTATTTTTGATACACCTGGTGAAAGAGGCTTAGTTTTTAAAAATATTGTTGTCTTTATGGAGGGCTATTACATAGTCGTATGGAATTTTATTTTAAACCAATTTCAATTATGTGAATTAAATATGGAAAATTATTTTCCTTTCAGTCAGTGTTCAGTCTCAGTGTTTTAGTAGACTTGATTTTGGGTTTATGTTTAAAGTATGTACAATAAAGTTGAATATAACGGAAAGCAAAAACGTAAACAAGTAATGACTTTCTCATTTAAAAAAAAAAAAAAAGAAAGACCGCCCTCCCGCCCCAACAATTTTCAGCAATAGCCAAATTTTATTTTGCACCATCAATGAGTAAAAAAAAAAAAGAAACCGCCCTCCCTCCCTACAGTTTCAGCTGTCAGTTGCCCGAGAAACAAGACATTTATTTTGTGTGGCCTAATAGTTAAAAAATAGATAATGAAAACAGAATATGCTGAAAATTTCAGTCAAATTGATTCACTCCGAACCAAGATATTAACGATTCAATGTAAGACTAGCTTCGATAATCATTACTACCATTTGTACGATAATAAGTAACAGTCTCGATTATCTATTTTTAGTTAGATCATTGATCACAAACCATATTTAAATCTACTAAATATCGCAGGCTAACAATGGCATCAAGATTTGATTATGGTCTTGAGAAGTTAATTAATGTCTAATTAATAATTTATATAACATTTAAGGCCTATAGAAAGACCTGCAACTGGCAAATTTAGCTTTTGCATAATGCATGTTTAATGGTACTAAATTATTCAAAATATTTTCTATCTAATTTCTAGAGAAGAAGTTGTTCTAACTTACATAGATCTCTGATGTAGAGTAACATTGAAACAAATAAATAATCCACTAGATCAAATCCGATTCCATCGGCAAATATGGCGTCCCATAACATCAATAAATCCTGCATAGGAAACTCTCTACCAAACAATAACCGAATCCAACGACTGAAATAAATGTAAACAACACATATGTGGTGAAATGAGATTTAACGTACTACTTTTCCACACCAACTGGTACCATACAGTGTTCTATGGGGGGAATTTTGCCCAAAGAGTGGCACTATATATATATATATATATAGCAACCCTTATTATTTATTTCTGACGAAAGGCAATATTTTACGTGTGTTCAAAGATATACACAATACAGTACCCTTTTTTTTCGAATTGAACAACTCAACTCAATTTTTATTACCCAGGTCCTTCATCCTGCTTCACTGTCAATAGAAGGAGAGAGAGAGAGAAATGGGGTTTAAAGTCCACTCGACACAGACTAGGTCATTTCGGGACTAACATATGATTTAATTTAATTCAATAATTCGCTTGCGCATAGGGGTCTTTAGCAGTGGGAGGGACCCAGAGAAAACCCACAAGGTTGGACAGGCAACACTACTCCTTGTCACGTACAACCGGGGATCACTGTCAATAGGAAACAGGGTTGTAAAATCCTTAGGAACTTTAGCGGTCAATATTTTCTTTGCAAATATTATATTTATTAATTGCAGTGGATGCAGAAAGTTGATACATTTTCACTTCATCATATCTTTGTAAATACTGAACCGATTTACACTTCGTTTAGAGAGAGAGAGAGATCTTTAGCAGTGGGAAGAAACCGGAGGACCCAGAGAAAACCCACGAGGTTGGACATGCGACCCTACTCCTTGTCACGTACAGTTGACTCAATAACAGACCTTATGATACAGCGCGCATGTGCTAACCATTCTACCATCCACCCCCCTTACTCCATTCAGAGATTAAACTTTCACTATTATTTCAATAATTCACGTACACGTAGGGGTCTTTAGAAAGTGAGAGGAAACCGGGGTACCTGCAGGAACCCATGAAGCGATCCTGCTCCTATTTATGTCACTGACAGACCTTATGATACAATGCACACCTATTCCCCAAATACTGAATCAGATATGAACCATTTTCGGACTGATATTCCAATTAGAATAAACTTTTAAAATTTATTGTAGTTATCAAGGGATTGATACTTACATGCCATAAATCTGTGGAGCTATTTCTAATCTCTCCAGATGAAGATGTAATTCTGAGTCATGTTTTTTTAAGATATAATCTTGTATCCTAGTTAATTTGGTAACAATTCTATTAGATGGGTTTAAATCCTGACATTTAGCAAAAGGTTGAGCATTGATAAAATCTTTACCCTGAAATATCCAATGTTTTATCAATAGATTACACATAGATCCAGCTAGTCACAAAGAGATTTATGGTGAACTGAACTGAAGAGAGACAGAAAGAAATGGGGTTTAACGTCCACTCGACACAAACTAGGTCATTTCGAGACTAACACAAGGTTTAATTTTATTTCAATAATTTGCTTGCGCGTAGGGGTCTTTAGCAGTGGGAGGAAACCAGAGGACCCGGAGAAAACCCACAAAGTTTGACAGGCGAAACCACCCCTTGTCACGTAGAACCGGGGAATCAACACCACGTCAGTTGACTCAATGACAGACCTTATGATACAGTGTGCACATGCTAACCATTCGGCCATCCAACTCCCGTTTGAACTGAAGATCTATTGAAATCAAATGAAACATAGTTTAACATCCTCATTTTCTGCTCCATCAAAGAAGACAATCATATACCATACATGCAGGGTGAAATGAAATGAAATGAAATGGGGTTTAACGTCCTACTGTTCTGCTTCTAAACTGGGCTAATGAAGACGGGCATACGCCATACAGTGTGCTATGAGGGAAATTTTGCCCGGGCAGCGGCGCTACGGCCTACTCTTATATCGAATTCCAACTGCCAAGGGATCTTTTACATGTACGCCAATATGTACACAAGACCTCGGTTTTTTGTCCCATCCGAATGACTAGACAACTGTCCTTGTCAGGCCCTCCGTCCTGCATCACTGACAAGGGGAAACCACCCCAGAAAATCTGGATGAACTTTCTCGGCCAATGCAGGGATCGAACCTCCAGGCTAGCGAGCCAGCGTCTTACCCACTTAGCCACGTGATCCCCCTACATGCAGGGTGCTATGAAGGAAATTTTGCCTGCACAGTGGCGCTACGGCCTACACTTATTTCAAATTCCAACTGTCTAGGTTTCGGATTCTTTTATGTGTTTGTCAATGTGTACACAGGACTTGATTTCTCATCCAAATGACTAGACGCTGTTCTCTGCCAGATGCTCTGTACTGCACCACTGACAAGGAGAAACCAGACTGTAAATTCAGTGGTACTTTCTCAGTGAACACTGGGATTGAATTTCAACTGTCAAGGATTCTTTTATATGCATGCCCAATTCAACTGACTAGACACTATTCTCAATCTGATTAAAACATGGATCCTATTTCGTTTAGTTTTTTTGTAGTTCAAAATTTCGTTTTACTTGTCTTCACAACAATAGAATCTAAAAGAATAACCCACGTTCTGGTTGAAGAGAGGGATAAGCCAATGAAACGGTCTGTTATGGCGAGTTCTTGGGTAAACCACTAGAAACGTCAGAGCTGACTGATTAATCAATGTCTGATGTCATAGGGTCAAAAGCTGCTCGTGCGCCCCTGATGCGACCTTCCACTACAACCGGTCAGATCTTCAAGAGAGAGAAAGAGAAATGGGGTTTAACGTCCACTTGACACAGACTAGGTCATTTCGGGACTAGGTCAGATCTTCACGTAGTGTAGACCATCGAAAGTTTAAATAAATGAAACGAAATATAGATTTGTATTTTAATCAGATTGAACTATTCTTTGTCTAGAAACTCACCCAGCCACAGCCATACCCTGGCTCCCCTCCAGTTACATGCATTAAGTCTCATATGAGAGTTCAGTTATACTAAAACGGTGAAATTAAAACTTACCCGATATTGAGAAATAACAAAGTCTTTCGACATATACCAAGGTTCAACTGTTTCTAACACTTGACAAAACATGGCACTGAAATAAAATCATTTTGTATTTAAAACAGGATCATTTGGTTCCATTACTGATCTCAATTTTGACAGTGAAGGATCTTCTACATGCTGTCAACTGTATACGAGACCTCAGTATTTCGTCCTATCTGAATGTTATTTATTTTTACCAAGCCTAATGCCCTGAACCACTGGAAAAGGGAAACGAGGCTGGAAAATACTGAGAAACTTGCTCGGCCATCACTGTGAATGAACGGGATATACAGGACCTCAATTTTTCAACCCATCCAAACAACTAGACGCATTTCGTGACCAAGTCTGTCATCTGGCAGACTGAGAAATCCCATGGAATTTACTTGGCCAATGATGTGGTTAGCGAGCCAGCACCTTACTCTGGGGTGACAAGAAATAAAATCATCAATACTTACTATGCATCATGTTCCAGGTAACTTGGATTCATAATATCTTTAATCAATTCTCTAAAAAAAATACACAAAGTTATCAACTGTTTGAAGATTTCAATAATGTGTGTTTGTTTCCTATGATCTGAAAGGAAGTCTTCATTTAAAATGAAATGAAATGAAATAAAATGGGGTTAAACGTCCTACTGTTCTGCTCCGACTGAGCTAATGAAGACGGGCATATGCCATACAGTGTGCCATGAGGGAAATTTTGTTTGGACAGCGGCGCTACGGCCTACTCTGATATGGTATTCCAATTGGCAAGGGATCTTTTACGTGCACACCAATGTGTACACGAACCTTGGTTTTCTGTCCCATCCAAACGACTAGACAGCTGTCCATGTCAGACCCTCTGTCCTGCTAAATTGAAATGAACTGGGGTTTAATCTTTTGCTTTTCTCCACTAACCAGGTTAATGTCATGCTGCATGCTATAAGAGGAATTTCAAACTGTCAGGGGATCATTATTGTGCTGTCAATGTTTTTTTGCCCATCGTAATGACTTGATGGTTTCGCTGCCAGAAGATATATCCTGCACCATCAATAAGAGGAAACCAGGCTAAAAAATTCTGAGCTAGAGGAACTTTCGTGGCCAGGTTTATGAACCAGTGCCATACAGTTTCATTTGAAAGTTTAAAAATATATGGTAATCCATTTGGATAAGTTGTATTTCACTCTAAATGAATTTTACACAGCATTTCTTTTTAAACATACATGAATATGATTTAAGCTTTCAAAACATTTTAATCAACAGAAGCAATAGTCAACATAAGGATTAGAACATAAGAAAAACAGAAATAAAACATAATTAAGGTCCAAGGGAATTGATCACTAGTGGGCCACAGCACTACCGATATATGCATGTTCCTGAAGCAACGACTGCGAGTTTTACAACATCTGGCCGTTGCTTGTTTACTTCACAATTCCCGAACTTATAGCCATGTTATCTACAGACACGTGAGCAGTAGCGTCCAATCGGACGTTGTGACATCGCAACCTCCAAGGAAACCTTGACATTGAATGAACCTTGAACTTTGCAACTTGATTATAACAGGTAGACATTTTAGCTTGAAGGCGCGAGACTTGGTATTCGCGACGATCAAGGAATCTGATAGGCTCACAAGCTGGACTTGTACCCAATTGAAATTAGTGCGAAAATATGCAGGGTATTACGTGAAGGCCTTGATAAGATGTACGTAGTTAAAGCGAGATCAAGCCTTCTATTGAAGATGCCATATAGGATACATATTGCGATTCGGGTGCTTCAATACAATTTGTATCATGTTTCATAACTAGATCAATATTCAACAAGAAAACAACAGGATAAATGAATAATTGATATTTTTAGTCCTGCCCCGATGTCGAAGAAATAAAACTGTTTTATATCACAGTATTGATGAGGATCAAAATAAGGACCAGAACAATTTACAAGTGTTTGTGTACTTATTGATAATGTGTGACGTGGATAAATTATGAAATACGGGTTACATACTGGAGCGGCAAAAAAGACATAAAAGGAATCGTGATAATTCGATTCACTGCCTCGCGATTCAATAAGCAAATCATGAGAAGGTGAATCGCAATACATCGATTCAACAATATATATCGTGCCAGCACTATTAATCACAGTCCAGTTAAAGGTGCAAGTGCATTGAATATTGCATAAAGAGAATATAAATGACAAGTTGATACTTTTTATATATATATATAAAAAAAAAAAAAAATTTAAAAATTACCCCAAAGAAATAATTCCCAGAAAAATATACAGAAATAAATCTCCATATACGAACAAACCTAAATCCGCACCACCTACAAAATCTATATAGAAATTTTTTCTTTAATTTTTAAGAACTTAGCAAATAACCTTTTAACCAGTTTGATAACTAAACCTGGACATTAGACACCTGTCACAGACTTTATCAAGTACAAATTAACACACTAAGTATGTTTTTTATGTTGTGTGATAATTTGTACCTGTCAAAGTCTATGAATGGTGCCTTATCTCAAGATTTGGCAGTAACATAAGCGATAACATAAACATCAATGATAACATAAGCGATAACATAACGCTGGACTGACAATGGACAGAAGTGATAACATAAGCAATAACATTATGCTGGATTGACAACGAAAACACAAGTGATAACATAAGCGATAACAATATGCTGGATTGACAATGGACAGAAGCGAAAACATAACGCTGGATTGACAATGGACAAAAGCGATAACATAAGCGATAACATTACACTGGATTAACAATGAACAGAAGCAGTAACATTATGCTGGATTGACAATGAACATAAGCAATAACATTACATTGGTTTGACAATGGACAGAAGCGATAACATAAGCGATAACATTACTCTGGACTGACAATGGACACAAGTGATAACATTAGGGTGGATTGACAATGGACGCAAGTGATAACATAAGCGATAACATCATGCTGGATGGCAATGGACAGAAGCGATCACATAAGCAATAACATTGCGCTGGATTGACAATGAACATAAGCGATAACATTACGCTGGTTTGACAATTGACAAAAGCAATATAATATTAGATCATTGATCAAAATCAAATAACATCCCAACATTCACCATGCAGCAGTAATAAACAATCTCAAGCACAAGGCTGTAATAGTTGCTAATTTCCGTAGAAATAAGTTTATGCCAGTATTTACATGTAGTTATTCAAAATTCAAGCTGTCAGAACTGTTTTAAGAGGCTTTTAATAATCTGAATATCTTGAAGGTTTGGAAATAATTTCTGTTGAGTAAGTCTCTATTATACATTTTATTGTTAAATTTTTAAATCTCGTTGGTGTTCTAATCCATTTAAATCTCTGTTATCCAATTGGCTAGAGAGTTCATGTGTGCATTGAATGTTCAAAGCTTAGCCTCACTTCACCATTTTTAGATTAAATCATTAAATGGCTGTACTGTTCTGATCTACTTAAAATCAGACCTATCCAATGGCATCAAAACTTGATTATGGGCTTGTCATGTGAATAGATGTCTAAATTACAGTTTATATAACATTTGAAGCCAAATTAAGACAGGCAATAGGAAGCTTCAGCTCTTGCAAAATGTGTGCTTAATGAATGTATGTTGAATTAAGGCTAAGCTTTGAACAGCCAGTACGGTGGTTACATTCAGTGCACACATCTTGTCAAACCTTCAAAGACTATTATCTTTGCTCAGAATAAAGTAATTTTAATATATTCATTTTGCATTATTAATTTTTGAACTATTATAATTATAGCAAGAATGGCCAGCTCTTTATCTAATGTTCAATATACATCTGAGAGTGGAGTGAACCAAGAAAAATTTGATACTGTCTGTAAAATCAAAGTGACGATCTGGGACTTTTATGATTAAAATGGGGATTGGTTATAAAAAGTTCCTTTTCAAAAACTAATTTTCATTTAATATTCATTATCAATATTACTAATGAACCACAAGGTTTGATGATAAAGTGTATTTATCGAATATATATGTTATTTTGACTGATCATCTTCAATTTCTAATTCATTTTAAAAAATAAATTTGAAAAAAAAAAGAAAGCGATCTTTAAATAAATAAGGGCGGTTTCTCCTCAACAGATTTTCACCAACAGAAGAATAATAAACCCAGAAATGCAGAAGTCACCATGGCATCTATAAATTTATAATGGCATATTTTGCTCAAGAGATTTGGAAATTGGAACCCCAGAAATAACCATGAAATACAGAAGAAAGTGAGTATTAAATAGAAACTGAAATTAAATGGATTTATTTTGTCTAACCTGAAGGATTCAGGTACATAGCTGAAAATATATTGACACGGAACAAATAACTATAAAAAACTATACTGACACAAGGAGACAAATAATAACGTATATTGACACAGGAGACAAATTAATATAACAAAAAATATTCATACACACAAAAAAAAACAATACAAGGTGAACTACTACATGGATGAGTTGCACAACATACAGGGAAATTTAATGTCGCCAGATCAGATGAGCAACACAATACTTAAAGATGGGTTCCCAGAAAAGTATTTATCGGGTGGTTATTTCCAATAAAAGTATGTCAATTTTGGTATATATGGAAAGTAGAGATATCCAATCTCACTAGAAAAATACTGGATTCCCCGAAAAACACTCATGGAGCGTATACAGGACAAAAATGTAAGGGTTCCCCTAATCAACAGCCCGATGATTAAGAATTTCTGCACGCGTAATGTCAAAGGTCACACGCGAACATTGAGCGCTTGATGTACAAGTTGATAAACTTTATGAAGAGTTAGACGTGCAATACTTTCTGAGATAAAAATGACAGAAAAAGACGCGGGTAGTGGATTATCCGAGAATTTAATTAGGATTTGATATTTGTAATAAATAGTAAGGGATTAAAGACAACATCGTCTTATGTATGCAATGAATTCTCCTCTGATTTCCAAGACGTGACGTAAACATGACCTGGTTTGATCGAATTTTAATAGCAGGGCATTCCTTCGCAATTACAATGTTTGAGAAGGATTTGAAGCATAATTATGACAAATTAATTAGTTTGAATATGTTTTTAGTCCATATATATATACCATTAAATCACCCAGTATGTACGCGGGAACCCATCTTTAACATGAGTAAATTGCACATTCATTCATCTAGGTCATAATTACAACTTATGAGAATGAAATAAGAGTGGAAACTAATTGTAATCAATTTTCTAGTTCTTTTTTTTTTTACTAGTCATAAGTTTTGGAAATCGATGAGTATTTGTCCAAGGAAGGAGCATACAAAGTTTCATGGCGATTGTACTGAAATTAGCAGAGCCTTCGTCAATTTTTAAAGAATGAGACCCCAAGAAGAAGAACATGGGGATCTGTTCTTGTTAGGCCTACAATGTTTAGTACTTAGCCTAGCCCAAACAACAGGTTAATAAACAAATCCAATCTGATTAAAACACAGATCCTATTTCGTTTCGTTTTTATAGTTCAAAATTTCATTTTACTTGTCTTTACAACTATACTAGGATCTGGAACAGTTGTTATCATTGACGTATTCTAGGTGATGTGAGGGATTAGCCAATGAAACAGTCTGTTATGGCGAGCTTTTGGCATGAGCGGCACAGAACTGTGGGTAATCCATCAGAAACATCAATGCTGATTGGTTTATCAAATATCTGATGTCATAGGTCAAAAACCACTTGTATGACCCTCTGACGCGACCCCACAAAAAAACTGGTCAGATCTTCATGTAATGTTGGCCATTGAAAGTATAAAAAACGAAACGACATATAGATCTGTAGTTTAATCAGACTGGAATTAAAAAATATCATATATATATATTATACTTACTGGATACTCTCTATCTCACAAGCATGTTGAAACGCCTGATGATCACAGTGTAACACAAATATCAACGGTGCCAATAACTCATGCATACCCTAAAATATAACCAATATTCAAATATGAGCAAACAGCCTTTATATACACAGGGGCGTAATTCATCAAAAATTAAACTAAAATATTTAAGGAGGCAGCTATTTCATTGGTTGAGAGAGTTTAAATCCTAATACAAATTTTAGATATTGGCCAATGAAATCGCTGAATTCCTAAAATATTTAAGGAGGTAGCTATTTTATTGGTTCAGAGAGTTTAAATCCTAGTACAAATTTTACATATTGGTCAATGAAATAGCTAAATTCCTAAATTATTCTAGTTTAAGTTTTTGTGAATACAGCCCCACCGTTATATAAAATATCCTACTTTAATACAATATTACATCAATTTTTAAGTTTACGTTATTTACAATAGAGTTCTCAAAGGTAAAAAAATTTTTTTTTTAAATTTTGTATGATTGAAACTATTTCAAAATGTAACATACTGGTAGACTAAATTTTTCAGCTGAATGCAATAATGGAGAAATCAAAACGTTTTATCAAACACTAGTATCATTCATGCATTTAAGATTTTAAAAAATAAGACAGAATGAAAGAATGACAATCAATGTAACAAATGTACCAAACCAAAACATGAAATGATTGGATACAAAATGAAAGTAGAAATTGTGAATACCCAAGCATGCATTAATTTCATGATGCACTAAAGGATTCAAACTAATTTCAAAATACTTAAAACTAAAATATATAAAGAATACAGCCATTTCATTGGTCAAGAACTCAAATTTGTGCTATGATTTTAGTGCTCAGCCAATGAATCATCAGTATTTTTAAAATGTTTTAGTTTAAATTTTCATGAACAGAGTCTGCAGTACCATTATTGAGCTAAAATTTATTGTTCTGAACTTGACGTGCGCTATTTGAAACTTTGAGTTCATATGCTTCAGTGTGCACAAAATATATTTATGTTCTACAGGATGACTAACGCATAAACTCAGATTTCTATACCTCTATTGTTCTGCCGATGGCCCAAAGGATAAACCGAGTTTATTTTTTATCTGCATTGAAAGCTCTATATTTTCATGACATCTAACAATGAACCCCATATCGAAGAGTCATGATCATGCGATGTCATAAAAATAACAAGTGCTTGTGGAATATTATCATAACATCTATGGTGAGCTCCTCATCAGGAGAACCTTGATCATATGATATCATAATAATAACAAGTGCTTGTGGGATATTATTATAACATCTAATGTTGAGCTCCAACATCAGGAGAACCTTGATCATGCTACGTCATAATAATAATAATAATAGCAGGGGCGGATCCAGGAATTTTTGCAGGAGGGGGTTTGCCAGGTTCCTGTTAAGGAAATCTGTCATCATCGTCTCTAAATTACATAGGCATACATACAAATTGAGCTTTTTAAAGAGAGAAATCATTTCTGTAATGATGTAGGATCACATTGTGATTTAATGTCATTGATGCAAGGCATTCATTTTATTTTATGTAACTGAGCAGGGTGGGGTTTGGACCCCCCAAACCCCCCTCTGGATCCGCCCCTGAATAGCACTAATAATAATAATAAGTGCTTGTGGAATATTATTATAACATATGGTGACCTCCACTTCAGGAGAACCTTGATTATGCAATGTCACAATAATAATAACAATAGCAATGATAGACGTCTCAGTGTAATAAAATTACATTGTAATATTATTATGACATATAGTGACCTCCCATATGCCAGGAGAATCATGCCATGTCATACTACCGTTAATAATAATAATAACGACAAAAATAGCAATGAGAGACGTCTCAGTGTAATATTATTACTATAACATCAGGACAACCTTGATCATGTGATGTCATAATGACAATGAGTTCCACTGTGTAATATCATTATGACATATAGTGACCTCCATATGCCAGGAGAATCATGAAATGTAATAATAACAATAAAAATAACGACAATAATAGCAATGACAGCAGTTTCAGTTTAACATTAATATAATAACATAAAACAAATAAAAAGATGGAGTACCTGTTTATAAGATAAATTATAATGTTCACGACTAAAACAAAACAGAATATCGATCATCATCTCACGTAAAACTTCAGATTTAAAAAACTCTAACTCAGGAAAACTACACAAAAATAGAAAATAAAAAACAAAATCAAAAATCAAACTAAAACACGGATGTTAAAACAGAACAAAACCTTTTTGATTTGGATGGCAAATCAAATGTGGAATTGTTCTGCGAAACGGAAATCTCTCGTTCAATGTGAAATTAATTTGCAAGATGCAGATCTCTGTACATTAAAGTGATTTGGTAATGTATACAATCATGTATACAATGTCAGTAATGTACACAAGGCAAGTCATGTATACAGTGTCAGTCATGTACACAGTAAAAAGTGAAAGAACAAGACACTAATTTACATAAAACTGAACGAACTTTGACACAATAAACATAAATAATATCAAATTGAAATTTATATAGGGTACCACTATATTCAGTTGCACAAAACCCTAAAATCAACTTCGGTCAATGTTAACAGTCTCTATTTTTCCATTTACACGTTTTTCTCTTAATTTATTTGATTTTGAAAATTAATTTCGGCATAAATTAATGTTATTAAAATCGAGAAGAAGTTTGAAAGCTGTTCGTCTTTGATAGACTTGTATTATGATTAAAGAATGATATGTCGATAGACGGAGGAAAGACAGTATTCATAGAATAAATTTTTATGTCAAAATTCACATGTCAATTGATGGAGAAGATCTATGTCAAAATTCACTTGTCAATTGATGGAGAAAAGACAGTATTCGTAGAAAAACTTAAGATTTATGTCGAAATTCACATGTCATTTGATGGAGAAAAGACAGTATCCACAAAACAATTTATATGATCTATGTCAAAAGAAAATTTAAATTATAATCAAAAACATCAATCATGACTATCTGAAAATAAATCAAAACAAAAGTAAAAGAATTAAAGTATGGCTAGTGTGATTTCTACTTGATAAATCTGGTAGGTACAATTAAACATGCCATGCACTATTACAACATCCTTGGTATCCCCAGTGGTATCAATCTGATCCACTCCACTAACCCCTGGTTCCATTCCATTCTGTCATTTTTATCGACCATTCAAAAAATTTCATAAATAGAAATTGAGTGAGGAAAGGGAAGTAACTCACACTTTCTTGAAACTAAGATTGCCAAATAGTTGTTGTAAACTTTGTCAAAATATTATAGTGCATCTGTTTGTGTGCATGTCACTTCTTAGACATCAAATTTCTTGAAAATTGAGAGTACATGCTGCTGTACAATCTGTTTCACAGAGGATTACGAAAGTCTTCTAATATCTCTGTAAAAGATGACTGCCTTCAATACGTGATGTCACATTGGCTCAATGGCATGTGCATTGTTTACATAAGACGTTACTGAATTGGACAGAATGCTGCCTTTTACTCATTTTAATACCCATTTACACTAAATAGGAAATAATTTTTACCTACATATACTTAAAACGTCTTTATTTATTTTTATAATACATCAAAAAATGTTTTAGAATTTAATTTGTAGGAGGAAAAAAGTTAACACTTGGGGCATCGATGTCATCCTTATCAGTGATTGTAGAGGCCTAGCTTATATTCACTGCTGATCAGTGTGACTGCTGTATTGTTGTGAACATAAACAGTCACGCAATGACCAGATGACCAGTGTATGAACTGTTTGGTTCATGGAATCAACTACGTGGCCAATGATATCAACAAGGGCAGATAATTTGAATTTTTGCTCCCCCATGAATGGACTCAAGGGTTAGTGGAGTAGAACGGAACTATGCCACTGGGGATACTGCGGATGCTATTACACATACACATCTAAATATATATATATACAAGCTGCATACATGCTGATATTTACAAGATTCATTTCATTATATTTTATGTTCCTGAAGCTGACAATGACTTCAGATGACCTAATTCTGTAACTGTTAACACCAAATAAAATTAGAGGTAACCGGTACGCCAATCGAGTATGCCATGTATGATAGATTAATTTAGACTTTGCCAATCAATGAAATCACACACATTAAGTAAGACTTAAGCCAATTGAGGAAATCACGTAGATTAATTTAGACTTTGGAGAATTCTGAATTTGATTCACCATATCTTGATGTCCGATTGGGCCTATCTGCAGTCAGACCCTTGCCAATCCAGATGGATATTTTCGGTATTCATGGACAAAACAGAATCTGTATATTCAACCCAGGCAGGGGAGAAGTCATAAAGACATGACTTTTTGAAGCAATGGTTATGAATATCATTAACTCATTAACCACTGCTACATATGCAAGAAATAATGGTGAAACATCTTCATTGGCCTCACCCAATTAAAATTAAGAGACAAGAAATTTCAGAAAAATTATTTTGATTGTCAAGTTTTGATATCCACGAATCTTGTAAAATTCAAATGACAATGCATGATGATGACACTGGCAACTATGACAACAACTAGAGTTATCTTCCTCTAACCTGACGATAAGAGATGTCAGGATTCTCTTTAGCGAAGATAAATAAAATATCAACCATTAAATTTCTCATCTGATTCGACTGAAAAAACTCAATTTTTGGATACCTGTAAATGACAGAATTCATTAGTTTGATTTTATAACTCCACCACAGGTAAATATTCTTCCAAAATGTACCTTTTCTCAAATTCTCCTGGATGGTTTTTTAACTGTACCTATTGCCAATGGCATTTCCTTCATATATACACATTATTTTCTTTTTAGAAATATATAGGTGTACATGGAGATAGGAAAGAAATAAAGATCATTTTTTATACTTTTCAATTTTTAAGGTGGGTACATCCCAGTGATGGGATTTTGCCTGTATATTCCGGACACGTCCGACGCTATTTCCCAAAGCTGGCGAGACACGTGAAATTAAGAGTACAATAACTGAAATGAAAGTAGAAATCTTGTGAGACACGCGAAATTAAGAGATGTAAACGTGACGAATCTCACACGTCTAAAGATTCTATTTTGATGGCATATTTTCGGATTTATGATCATATTTTGCATGGGGTTATATAAATTTGAATATTTTGTTGACACATGATTTTTAATTGTGGTCTGAAAATGCCTGCTTAAATAACAATAAGAGTTATGCCCCTTTATTTTCGGGAAAAAAAGTCTGACAAGAAAAATTTGAAATCCCATCACTGGTACAGTCTCTTCCTAAATGGCTTCAGCGTTTAATCAATCATGTACATTTTTATTATCCTGGATAAATATCCATGCAGAATGAAGAATATGTATCACAACAACATGATAAGAAAGCATATGCTTGATTATAACATTACTCCATTATAGAGAGAGACAAATGGGGTTTAACATCCACTCAACACAAACTAGGTCATTTCGGGACTAACACATGGTTCAATTGTAATACAATAATTCTCTTGTACATAGGGGTCTTTAGCAGTGAGAAGAAAATGGAGGACCAGGGGAAAACCCACGAGATTGGACAGACGACCCTACTCCTTGTCACGTACAACCGGGGAATCAAAACCACACCAGTTGACTCAATGACAGACCGGCCTTCCAACACCCTTACTCCATTATAACCAACATGTTCGAATGATGCTTGTTACACTGGTTTACCATCATCTGAATACTGACCAAAATATGTGAATAATTGTCTGGAAACATTAAAAACCACGTTATAGGCTAATGGTAATCCATGATTAGGAGAACATTTTTTGTGTAGACCTAGACAGTATTATCATTTTATTATAATTTTTCAAGAAACAGTACGATTTTTAACAGTCAAAATGTCAAACAGGAAGTAACCAAATGAGTTAAAGTCGTCTGTTTATAAGGGAAGTAACTCTAATAATGCTAGGAATTTTGCATTCGGCTAGTCGTTTTTGTCGATAACAGTCGCCATGGGTGGTGACACCAAAAGTCGACTTGGGTCAGCTAAGAGTTAAAGTATATGCAGATTAAAGTCTGTAATCGTTATTGGTTGAGGGATTTTTAATAATAAAATAAAATAGTAAACATTTTTTCTAGTTCTCAGGAGAGGGGTATAATATAGGCTATGTCTGTTCCCCAGTCCCTATTCAGATACAAATCTGAATAAAAATATTGTTTATAAAAAAAAAAAGATTTAAAATCCCTCGAAATAAGGATCAGCAGCATTAATTTGGTTATAAAGATACGTAATTAAGATAACATATATAACAATGTCAATAACATTAACAGCAAACATTTTGTTAAAATTGTGTAAAATAAGCTGATGAAAAGACTTACGTTCTGATGACATCTTGTTTTATAGTCAGTCGTAACTCATTATCCTGAAAAAACTTATTCCATGGACTCTGTAAATAAAATAATTTTTTCCTTTAAAGATACATTATGTATGATTTAGATAAAGAGATAGCCATTCTTGCTATAATAGTTCGAAAACAGATAATGTAAAATGAATAATTTGAAAATTTCATTCAAATTACTTTATTGCGATCGAAGATATTAGCCTTTGAAGGTTTGACAAGACATATGCAATAATTTCAACCACCGCACTGGTTGTTCGAAGCTAAGTCTCGCTCCTCCATTTTAAAATTAAATCAAAATATGGCTGAACCTTTCTAAACTTTTTAATATCAAGGAGAAATCAGATGCCATCGAGAGTTGATTATGGCTCCAGTCTCACCTCGTTATTCTGTGACAGGGGATTATTAAGAGAGAGATCGATCCCTTCAACTTCTTTTCTCGGGTTTACAATTAACTGCAATAAAAAAACAAATGAAATAGGGTTTAACATCCTACTTTTATGCACCAACCAGTACAGTGGCGGCGCCAAGGGGGAGGCGCAATTGCCCCCCCCCCCATAAATCTGGTTTGCCCTCTGTTTGTCCCCCCCCCCCCCCCAATAATTTTAGAAAATAAAGAAAGTATTTGGTCGGATAGACTGGTGATCAGGCGAGAGACGGCATCTGATCAGCACTATTTATCTCTAGAATCGGTGCCTGAATACTGTCAGACAGCATTTCTGACAGTCTATTTTTCAAAATGTTGGGGGGAAGGTCCCCCATACCCTATGTAAGGACTCCCTACTTCGGCGCTCGTGTGTGGGCTTCATCGAGGTTCGCAAGTCTGTTCGTTTGACACTGTACCTCAATATCTCAATGAAGATTCAATGATCTTCATAAACAAGCCTGAACATAAGGCAGCGGTCACAGACTTTGTCAAGCGCAATATATATGTTGTGGGATAATTTGTACTTGACAAGTCTGTGACAGGTGCCTTATGTGAGAGAGAAATGGGGCTTAGCGTCCACTAGGTCATTTCGGGACTCACATATGGTTCAATTTTATTTCAATAATTCGCTTGCGCATAGGGGTTTTAGCAGTGGGAGGAAACCGGAGGACCCAGAGAAATCCACGAGGTTGGACAGACGACCCTACTCCTTGTCACGTACAACCGGGGAATCGATGTTCATAAAGTAAATAGAATTAGGTTTCATCATCAAACCATGCTAATGACGAAGGGCATACACGATGCGATGTGCCAGGAGGGAAATTTTGCCAGGATAGAGGGGCTTGAGACTCGATTACAACTTTTAGGTAATCTTCAATACAAATGATTTCCAGGATCTGCATCAATAACAATTTGAAGCCAGATTTAAAAATCCTGAGGAATGAAACAAATACTCACTACTTGAAAAACTTACATGTACTGGGAATAAAACAAATGAATTGAAATGAGGTTTAACATTCTCCCATTCTGCCCCAATTAGGCTGAAGATGGGCATATGCCATGCTGTATGCTATAATTTGTGCTATAAGGGAAATTTTGCCTGCATAGCAGCACTACCGCCATCCATCCAGCAATGTGGTTCCCAATAAAACAAATAGTCACTACCAAAAAAATGTTATCTTAAAATAAGCTTGAAGAGTTTGAATTAGAACGAAGTTAGTTGATTTGAGAGAGGAATCTGGGAAGGCTGTGTTAGAACGAAGCTAGTTGATTTGAGAGAGGAATCTGGGAAGGCTGTTCACCACTAAACAGATATTTAATTTGTTATCTTAAACTTACTTTATTTTTGAGATCTTCATACTTGTTTCTCCACAGCAGTGAATGTTCTGACCAATTCTCTTTTTCTTCTGGTAGAACTTTTAGATATAACTAGCAATACAAACCAAATTACAGAATATGTGGTATCATTGCAGAAATGAAATGAAATGGGGTTTAATGTCCTACTGTTCTGCTCCGAACGGGCTAATGAAGAAGGGACAGAAATTAAAGGCATGGTGCGTGACACCTTGTCGAGAGTCCAGTCCAACGAAATACAGATTACAATATGTGGTATTGTTGCAGAAATCAAAGAAATGGTGTTTAACACCTGGTCACAAGTCCAGTGCTTGCATTGTTTAAAATGAAATGGGGTTTAACATCCTACTTTTCTGCACCGACTGGGCTAATGAATATTCATAACAAATCACAACACAAGGTATATATGCATAGAACTACTACTTCTCTGTTATTTAATAACGACATTTCATAACACATACCCAGGTCACATTTTCACACATGTGTTACGAAACGTTATTAAATAAACTGAGAAGTAGTTATATTCACACATACCTTGCACTTTGTTTTGTTGTGAATAGTTACAGTAACGTTAACCGTACATCTAAATGTCAATTAAATTGGGCTAATGAAGACGGATACTGCTTTAAAAACCATGGCCCCCAAGCAATGTGCAGCAACCAGGAAGATACTGTTTTAAACACAACTTTCAACAGATAAATCGTATAGAATTATTTATGAACCTTACTATCATTAAAATAGAATTATTTACGAACCTTCCAACAGACACTGCGGAACCGACTCGATCGTAAATTTCCGTCCATCCCCTGTTCTTGTAGTTTCTTAAAATAATTCTGTCTCATAAAAAGTCTTTCCCATTCAGAGCTGAATCAAGAACAATTACAACTTTCATATACAACATCAGCACTAGCCATTATACATTTTATGGCCATGTCCATGTCCATGTTTAGGCTATCAAATAATTGTTCAAAATGGTGGTACTCTAATTCTTCCGTATTAATCCCCTCATAATATGGAATCAAACACTGTAACCCATGTACATGAAAAATTTATTATCACCCAATAATACATTCTACAGTAGATATCGCTTGTGTGATAAATTTCACAATCTACTTTTGATATCAAAAAAGTCTCGTAGGAGATTCTCTATATCTTGTGTATCTAGCACTAATTTATTTCACATTCGTTTAATATCAAATGTTTATTTAAAAATTTGTAAAAAAATTTTCTGCACCAGTGCTATTGCTCACTGAGCCACTGTGGTTGCCCTCAAGTTGCAGCTTAGATTATCACATACAGACTGTAGGAGATGGAAGGGACTATTTTGTAAAGGATTAGTCTTTCATAGTGAACAGTCTGAAGCTGCTTCACAATTGTTTACCTGTCCAAGAAATGACCGAGTGTGACGCCCAAGGCACTATCTCTTTCTATGTCTCCTTTTACATTTTGTTGATTATGGTTTAATATAGAATTTACCTGTATGAATGAGCATGGCTGGCAGACGATGATTCTGAACCTGGACTACCATTGTCATGACTACCAGCCTTTTTCAGATTATTGTTATCTGACTCTGGAGTTACAGCTGAAAGATGATAATTTCCAACTCAGTACTTAGTAATATAAATGTATAATAGCTTAAAGATAGTATTATGGGAGATAAGATAAAGAGCTGGTAGTTCTCACTATAATAGTTAAAAACTAGATAATGTACAGGGAATAAGCTGAAAATTTTAGTCAATTTGATCCACCCTGAACCGAGTATTTAACGATTGAATTTTGAGGATAACCTCGATCCTCATTACTAAAGTCGGTGAGATAAAAAACATAGTCTCGATTATCCATATTTTGATTTAATCAGAAGCAGCAAATCGGAACCTAATCCAATAAACATGGCAGGCTAGCGATGCCATCGAGAGTTGATTAGGATCTGGATAAGTTAATTGATGTCTAATTAATAATTTCTGTAACATTTCAGGCCTAAAATAAGACCAGCAATTGGCAGATTAAGCTCTTGCATAATGTATGTTGTTTAAAGATCCTATATTTTCCTTAAAGAGAGAGAGAGAGAGAAAGAGAGAGAGAAAGAGAGAGAGAGAGATGCCAATGGGGTTTAATGTACATTCAACACAAGTTGACTAGTTGAGAGAGAGAGAAATGATGTGTAACCTCCACTCGAAACAAACTTGGTCATTTTAGGATTAACATATGGTTCAATTTTATTTCAATAATTCGCTTGCACGTATGGGTCTTTAGCAGTGGGAGGAAACCGGAGGATACAGAGAAAACCCATGATTTTGGACAGACAACCCTACTCCTTGCCACGTACAAGCAGGGAATCGAAACCATGACACTTGACTCAATGACAGACCTGATGATACAATCATACAATGCGCACGCATTAACCCTTCAGCCACCCAAGCCCGCTACTTTCCTTATAAAATTGCAATATGATATTCACTATTCACGAATAATTCACGAATGTAATAACAATTACCATTGCCTTGTTTAAAATTAATGATGATTTAAATGGCTAAAATGATTTTAAAATAAGTGAGTTAGTTTGCAAGTACCAAGTATGCCATCTATAATAGCTGTAATATCTCTCCATTGTTACAGCTTCAGCCGCCCAACAATCAAAAGTCAACCATAACCTTTCATTAAATTCTACTCCCTCTGAAGTTCCTTTGATCCCATTAATAAATTATAAACTAGCAGTAGTCTAGAACTCCACTGTTTATCATGTTTTATGTTTATTTAATAATCAGTCCTGTCACATGAAAGGCTGTTTTTCTTATATTGATAGACCATACTCATTAGTGACTTCATGAGTTACTTTGGAATTAGCTACAAGAACGTAGCTAAAAACGTTGAGATATACTGATGTGTTTGTTTTTAGCTACGATTGGATGCCTTTAGTTCCAAGTGGCAAACTCAATTTCTTTATTAATGCATGTAACATATTTAAAATAAGATAAGTTTATGCTATTATGATTAATTAAACTTAGAGTGGCCAATGTAGTGGCACAACTGTCGCCTAACTCCAAATATTCGCATTTAAATTAATGAAGCGTTGTTTTTGTCTGACATTCACCGCCATCGAAATCCATTCATAGTTACAGAGCTTTAGATTGCCCTATTGATTGGCTGTTATAAAAGCCTTATATTTAGCCCCGCCTTCATGATGACAGCGTATCGTTTAAAAAGATGGCGGTCTTAGTAACGGCTTAATGCCTCGATTTTAAAAACGACGATTTGTACCCGTTTCAGGTAGGATTATATGCTTAATTGTAGTTGGGTCTGGCAGAAATATTATAAATAACAATAATCAATCGTTGTTTTTATTAAAAATATTGTCAATTTTGTTTACAAATGCCAGGTGCGAATCGCTCCAGCATGTGCTACATTGAAGGTGATGGCCTCATGTCTTATCTCGAAACACGGAGGGTTGAAAGATTAAGGTTTGTTATCTACTTTGGAATATGGTCAAAATGGCAGCGATCACAGTGTTGCTTTGACCTGAGTCTATGAATTCCATATTTTTAAATCTAAGTTTCTGATTCAAAGAATTTTTGAATATGAAGCATTCAGTTCTATGATCTACCGGTATTAGGTGAGCATTTTATTTGACTGTCAAATGAACCTCAGATCCTGCATGAAGTTAAGACATATTATGGCCATCTACACACTTATTGTATCTTATAAATCTCCATGCTTAAATACAGCATTTGAAAACTTGAATTTTTAAATTAGTTGGCTATAAAATAATGCTTGATTACAGTAATGAAGAAGTGACATTATTAAGAGATAAGAGAGAGAGAGAAATGGGGTTTAACGTCCACTCGACACAAACTAGGTCATTTCGAGACTAACACATAATTTTTTAAAATTTTATTTCATTACTTCGCATGCGCGTAGGGGTCTTTAGCAGTGGGAGGAAACCCCGGAGGACCCGGAGAAAACCCACGAGATTGGACAGGCGACCCTACTCCATGTCACGTACAACCGAGGATTCGAAACCATCAAGAGATAAACAATGGGCCTTATTTATTGTGTTTGAGAGAGAGAGAGAGAGAGAGAGAGAGAGTTTAATGTCCACTTGACACAAACTTGGTCATTTCGGGACTAACGCATGGTTCTATTTTATTTCAATAATTCGCTTGCATGTATGGGTCTTTAGCAGTGGAACGAAACAGGACGACCCAAAGAAAACCAACGAGATGGACAGGAGACCCTATCCTTGTCACGACTACAAGCAGGGAATTGAAACAATGCCACTTGGCTCAATGACAGAGCCTGTGATTTCATGTGCATGCGTTAAACCACAAGACCATTTAACCCCCTTTGTTATTCAGACACTATCTAGGTATATTTTTGTCCCCAGTTCATTAAAATAAAAATATTTTCACACTTTAAGACTGGAACAGATGACCTATATTATAAGTGAAATAGATAACCAAATATGATGAGTAGAGGTGACCTAATTTTATGAGTGGAACAGATGCCATAATCTTAGGATTCTCAAAAAGACATAAATATTCAATTCTTACGTGGTATAAATTTATCAATGGTTTCAATAATCTCATCTTTAGTAACTGATGGGGCACCATTCCCTGTCAGCGATGCTCTACGAGCAATTCTACTGGTTGATTGCCGTAACTTCCCTAAAACAGTCTCCATAGCTCATCTACAAAAAAGGTTGAAATATTACTATGATAATTATCAACATTATTAATAAATACACAAGCTAAACTTGGCTAAACATAGGTTGCCAGGCAACAAAACATAACATAATGTCACAGCAGCTGAGTCATCCACTCTGACCATAAAATGTTATTGGAAAAACTTACGTATACTGGGAATAAAATGAAATGAAATGAAATGGGGTTTAACGTCCTACTGTTCTGCTCTAACTGGGCTAACAAAGATAGGTATACGCCATACAGTGTGCTATGAGGGAAATTTTGCTCGGACAGCAGCACTCTGGCCTACTCTTATTTCAAACTCAAACTGTCAAGGGTTCTTTTATGTGCACTCCAAATGACTATAGACTGCACCACTGACAAAGGGGAACCGAGCCGGAAAATCCCCATGAACTTATCTGTCGATAAAGGTTTTTCTTTAGGTAAACCCAATATCCCCATGAAGTCAAAACAGATTGGATGATAACAATGATGCTAATAGATGGTTTACGAGATTTTGCAAAGGAAGTGCAGCAAGGGTAATAAATCTTGTAGTAATTAATAGAAATGATTGAAATTGGATGGTCTTCTTTGTTTCCATCTAAATAATACATACAAATTTCAAGCAGATCAGATGATACTTTTTGTTGCTAGACTGTAGATTCTGCAAAATGTAACTAGAGAGGATTGGGTTTAACTTCCACTCAACACAAATAATTTATCTAGGTCATTTCTGGACTAACACATGGTTCAATTTTATTTCAATAATTTGCTTGCGCGTAGGGGTCTTTAGCAGCAGGAGAAAACCAGAGGACATGGTTCAATTTTATTTTAATAATTCGCTTGCACGTACAAGTCTTTAGCAGTGGGAGGAAACCGGAGGACACTACATGAAGATCTGACATGTGGTACTGGAAGGTCGCGTAAGGTCCGTCGTACACGTTTCTAGTGGTTTACTAGTCGCTGTAACAGATGGTTCCATTGGTTAATCCCTCACACCAGGGGCGGATTGGGCCACCGGGCGATAGCCCGAAGGGCCGGTCGGACAAAAAATGAAAAAAATAATTTTGTCCAATTCGTCTAAAAAACCTTTTTTCTGCTGAACATTAGATGGGGGGGTGGGGGTATTGGATCGGCCATGGAGCGATGATGATCATGTTGTATGTGGCCGGTGGCTTTAACGGGCCGCCACGCCATCACTGGAGTCTGGAATGGGCTGGTATAATAGACTTTCTGGGCCGGGTGTGCTGGGTGTGGGCCGGAATTTCATCTGAAAATTTTATCGGATTCACCCGACATTGTCGCCCGGTGGGGATACGCCAGAAACGTCTGCCATTGGTTCGTATATCCAAAAAAAATTCAATTTTAAGACCTCATCAAAATTTGGTGATAGCTGGTCTGCTGGCTGAATTTGACAGAGATTATAATCAGATATGCCACCAAATCGCATATTTGGGGTTCATTTTTCAAAATTTTCACGGGGAGAGCACCCGGACCCCCCGTCCGGGCTCCGCGGTCAGTAAAAGGGGCCGCTCCGACATGGGAGCCAGGGCCAGTTCCGCCCCTGCCTCACACCATCCAGAACACCTGTTATATAACAACTCTTCAAGATCCTAGTGAAGTACAGACAAATAAAAGGAAATTTTGAAATACAAAAAAATAATGAGATTGTCCCAGTAATCTCATGTTCCTGAAGCAACGATCGCGAGTTTTACAACATCTAACCGTTGCTTCAGTACTGGGCAATTCCCGAAATTTTGCGCTCGTTGTGTTTACACGTGATCAATTAGCATTGTCCAATCAGGGGTCGTCGCACATAACACACTGTAAACAAATATGGCGGCCTCCATAGAAACTCTTTGTTGATCAGGTATGATTTCCAGCAACCTTGACATTGATCGAACCTTGAACTTTGCAACTCGATTGTCACATGTAGACATTTTAGCTATAAGCGCGAGACTTGATAATCGTAACAATATTTTTAACGAAGGAATCTGATAGGATCACAAGCTGGGCTTATACCCAATCAAAAATAGTGCCAAAATATGCGGGGTATTACGTGAAGGGCTTAATAAGATGTACGTAGTTAAGGCGAGATTAAGCCTTCTATTGAAGATGCAGTAATCTGAACAACGCAGATCAGACAATAACTCTTGGTGGCTATTATCGGAGATCACTGAAAATATATGACATTTTTCATATAGCTAATGTTCTTGAATAGATCGGATGATAAATTTTTTCTGTAGAGTGTTCAGAAGAAATCACAATATTGTAGACAAGGTTTGATCATGTGTCTATCTCACTTTACTGGCTCCATTATTGTCAACATGATTGTCCAGACACCTGATACTATAGCTCTAGGTGTGATATGATTGTCCAGACACCTGATACTATTTGCTCTAGGTGTGATATGATTGTCAGCATGATTGTACTGACACCTTGATACCAGTAATGGGATTTCAAAAAATTTCTTGTCGGACATTTTTACCGAAAATAAAGGGGCATAATTATCATTATTTACGCAAGCGATTTCAGACCACAATTAAAAATCATGTGTCATCAAAATATTCAAATTCGTACGTAATAAAAAAATAGGTGCGCCTCATTATTTTTCATATTTAATTCCTGTACGGCATTCAAATTTGTGTCAGTAATATTCCTACAAAATTATGTGTTCTCGTAATACGATAGAATGAAAGTGTGCCAGCTACTCTCGACCCGTACTTTTGTTCAAAATCACCTCCAAAATTACCGTATTTTTCGGGGTATACGTCAATACTTTTTTCAGAAGAAGCCCGGTATTCGTCCTATACTACGTTTGACTTCTATACGGATGGAGGTAAAAAAAAAAAAAACATCCCAAAATATTTTTGGCAGTGATCGTCGCTCCACGATACCGAGCCATTGACATCATCTGCTAAATAATAATTAACTACTTACATGTACACTATTTCAATCGAAATATTTGTCGACATTTCTCAGCTTGTTTATTTCTTTTTTTTAAAAACATAAACCCTATTCAAAATATTATCATAAACCCGAGAATATGCCATCAAAATAGAATCTTTCCTCCGACGTGATAATTTTCGCGTCTCGTGAGATTTCTACTTTAGTTTTTGATTATTGTATTATAACCACGTGTGGGTGTTTGTGTAAAATAGCTTTATTTAACATCTGCTTCCACCGAAGTCATATCGCCGACAAATTAACGGATATATTGATTTATAAGTTTATGTGATAATTGTCACGTTTACATCTCTTGTAATTTTACGCATCTCGCGAGATTTCTACTTTAGTTTTCGATTATTGTATTATAACCACGTGTGTGTGTGTGTGTGAAATAGCTTTATTTAGCGTCCGCTTCCACCGAAGTGATATCGCAGACAAATTAACAGATATTTTTTTGATTTACATGTTAATGGATAATATATTGATTTGGGGTGTTATATACTCTTAAAATATGTGACATTTATGATTAGTTTATACATATTGTCGGCTCACATCAATGGGATTAAAATGTTCGACAATGGAGAAACTACGAGATAAACACGTAGATTAAAATGATAATAACTCTTATTCAAGTTATTGGATTGATGAATAGTTCGACTTCTGTTTAAGATTAGATTGATGAATTGTCCGACAAAGGATTAAGTCAGTCAATCAAAGCAGATTAAGTAGTTAATCAAGGTAGGTGTATAGACGGTATAAGACAATAAATACGTTGATCACTTAATTACCTAATCAATCCAGCCTATTATCAACGATAATCGGGTTGAGTGGTAGTTATACACTCAGTACACTATATTAATATTGGAATTTTGAATATCATTCACCATGTCTTGATGTACGATTGGGTATATTCCTGGTCGAACAATTTAGGATGTCTGGAAAATAGAATCGGACATGTTCGAAATCCCATCTCTGCCTGATACTATAGCTGTAGGTGTGATATGATTGTCAGCATGATTGTCCAGACATCTGATACTATAGCTGTAGGTATGATATGATTGTCAGCATGATTGTCCAGACATCTGATACTATAGCTGTAGGTATGCTAATGATTCTCAATACAATGTAAGATAATATCAATCTAACAACAGCTTTGATGCAGATTAGAATAAAATGATGAATTGTGTTGATCTGTTATTATGATAAGTGATTGGACAAGTTCTGTATTATTCAAATTTAGTTCCATAGTCATAAAAACAAAAGGAACTACACCGTCTTGATGTTGTGAAATGAAATGAAATGGAGTTTAACGTCCTACTGTTCTGCTCCGAACTGGGCTAATGCTCATACAGTGTGCTATGAGGGAAATTTTCCCCGGACAGCAGCACTATGGCCTACTCTTATATCGAATTCCAACATCCAAACGACTAGGCAGCTGTCCTTGTCAGGCTCTCCGTCCTGCATCAATGCAGAGATCGAACACCCGAACTCCAGGCTAGCTAGAGAGCCAGTGTCTTACTCACTTAGTCACCTCGACCCCACGTTTTGATGTAGGAAATAATGACATGTTGAATTAGGGTGAGCTGATCTCATCATGTGTTATTGTCAATTAGTGATAAAACAAGACCTGTTAGACATCTGAAAAAAAATTGTATTTAGTGATTTTTTTTTTTTTTTGGGGGGGGGGATTTTCATTTCTGAAAAGCAACCTTGGTTCTATAAAGATTGGCTCTATCCGTGGACATAAAGTTTTAAATACTGAAAGATACCTCAATCAATTGGACTAAATAAACAACTTTAATCGGTACTCAAATTAAGAAGATTTAGTTATTTTAATATGAAGTCAGTATTTTCTAGTATGGTACTTTAACTCTAGGTGTTCTCCCTCTCCTTTTTATAGAGGTTATTTACCTTTAGGAGTTCTCTGGTTCAAACTTATAGAGGTTATTTATAACTAGGAGTTACACTACTCTACCTAATAGAGGTCATTTACATCTAGGAGTTCTCCAATTCCATCTTATAGAGGTTATTTACATTTAGGAGCTCTCAGACTGTA